AAAAATGATTTCCAAAATTTTCCAGAAAATGTTAAACGGTCTTCTATCAAAGGAAAATGGACTAAGTAACAAAATATTCATTGCAGATTAATAATTTGACGTCATTTTTATTTTACCTATTCCAACAACCGAGAAAAATGACAAAATATGTTTTAAAAATTTCTCAAAAAATTTACAAAAATTGTTGAAACGGCATCGGCAGTTATACGAGAGGAAAAAATACTGATTTATATAGAATTTTTCGTAGATTCACAATCTGAGGTCATTTTTGTTCTATTCCTTAAATAACTAAAAAAATTGTGAAAATATTTTCCAAAAATTTTCCAAAAAATGGTTAAAATGATCTTTCAAAAGAAAAAATGGATTAAGTAGTAGAAGATTCATTACAGATTAATAATTTGACGTTATGTTTATTTTGCCTATTCCAGCAATCGAGAAAACTGACAAAATGGTTCCAACATTTTTCAAAAAATTTCCAAAAATTATTAAAATGAAAGCTATACGAGAGGAAAAAATAGTGATTTATAAAGGATTTTTCGTAGATTTACACTCTGAGGTCATTTTTGTTATATTCTTTAGAAAAACTTAGAAAATTGTGAAAATATTTTCCAAAAATTTTCCAAAAAACCGTTAAAATGGTCTTCTTTCAAAGGAAAAAATGAACTAAATAATAGAGAATTCTTTGTAGATTAATAATTTGACGTCATTTTTATTTTACCTATTCCAACAACCGAGAGAAGTGACAAAATATGTTTTAAAAATTTGTCAAAAAATTTCCAAAAATTGTTAAAATATCAGCTGTGCGAAAGGAAAAAATACTGATTTATAGAGAATTCTTCGTAGATTCACAATCTGAGGTAATTTTTGTACCATTCTTTGAAATATCAGAGAAAATTGAGAAAATATTTTCCAAAAAAAAAACGTTAAAATGGTCTTCTTTCATGGGAAAAAATGTAGTAAGTAATAGAGAATCCTTTGCAGATTAATAATTTGACGTTATTTTAATTTTGCCTATTCTAACAACCGAGCAAAATGACAAAATACGTTTTCAGAATGTTTCAAAAAATTTCCAAAAATTGTTAAAACGGCAGCTGTACGAAAGAAAAAAATATTGGTCCATGAAGAATTCTTCGCAGATTCATAATATAAGCTCATTTTTGTTATATTACTCGAAATAATTTAGAAAATTGTGAAAATATTTTCCAAAAAAAAACTTAAAATGGTCTCTCAAATGAAAAAACGGATTAAGTAATAGATAATTCATTGCAGATTAATAATTTGACGTTATTTTTATTTGCCTATTCGAACAAACGAGAAAAGTGACAAAATATGTTTTCAAAATTTTTCAAAAAATTTCCAAAAATTGTTAAAACTGCAAAAGGAAAAATTATGATTTATAGAGAATTCTTCATAGATTCACAATCTGAGGTCATTTTTGTTCTATTCCTTGAAATAATTTAGAATATGATGAAAATATTTTTCAAAAATTTTTCAAAAAAAAACGTTAAAATGGTCTTCTTCCAAAGAAAAAATGGATTAAGTAATATAAATTTCTTTGCAGATTAATAATTTGACGTAATTTTTACTTTTCCTAGATATTCCAACAACTGACAAAAGTGACAAAGAATGTTTTCAAAATTTTTCAAAAAAAAAAACAAAAACTGTTAAAACGGCAGATATACGAAAGGAAAAAATACTGATTTGTAGAGAAATCTTCATAGATTCACAATCTGCGGTCATTTTTATTCTATTCATTGAAATAATTTAGAAAAAGATGAAAATATTTTCCAAAAATTTTCCAAAAAACGTTAAAATGGCCTTCTTTCAAAAGAAAAAATGGATTTAGTAATAGAAATTTCTTTGCAGATTAATAATTTGAGGTTATTTTTACTTTTCCTATTCCAATAACTGAGAAAAGTGACAAAATATGTTTTAAAAATTTTTCAAAAAAATTCCAAAAATTATTAAAACAGCAGTTATGCGAAAGGAAAAAAAACTGATTTATAGAGAATTCTTGGTAGATTCACAATCTGAGGTAGTTTTTGTTCTATTCCTTGAAATAATAAAATTTTGAAAATATTTTCCAAAAATTTTTCAAGAACCGTTAAAATGGTCTTCTTTCAAAGGAAAAATAGATTAAGTAATAGAGAGTTGGTTGCAGCTTAATAGTTTGAGGTCATTTTTATTTTGTCTATTCCGACAACTGAGACAAGTCAGAAAATGTATTTTCAAAATTTGCAAAAAAATTCCAAAAATTGTTAAAATAACAGCTGTGCGAAAGGAAAAAATATTGATTTATAGAGAATTCTTCGTAGATTCACAATTTGCGGTAATTTTTGTTGTATTCCTTGACATAATTTAGAAAATTGTGAAAATGTTTTCCAAAAATTTTTCAAAAAACGTTAAGATGGTTTTCTCTCAAAGGAAAAAATGGATTAAGGATTTCTTCGCAAATTAATGATTCGACGTCATTTTTATTTTGTGTACTCCAACAACTGAAAAAGTGACAAAATATATTTTCAGAATTTTTCAAAAAATTTCCAGAAATTGTTAAAATGACAGCCACGAGAAAAGAAAAAATACGGATTTATAGAATTCTTCATAGGTTCACAATCTGGGGTAATTTTTATTCCATTCCTTGAAATGACTTTGAAAAATGTAAAAATCTTTTCAAAAATTTTCCAAAAGACGTTAAAATGGTCTTCTTTCAAATGAAAAAAATTGATTAAGTAATGGAGAATTCTTGCAGGTTAGTAATTTGACGATATTTTAATTTTGCCTCTCCAACAACCGAGAAAAATGACAAAATATGTTTTCAAAATTTTTCAAAAAATTTTCAAAAATTGTTAAAATGACAGCTATAGGAGAGGAAAAAATACTGGTTTATAAAGAATTATTCGTAAATTCACAATCTAAGGTAATTTTTGTTCTATTTTTTGAAATAACTTATAAAATTGTGAAAATGTTTTCCAAAAATTTTACAAAAAGCGTTAAAATGGTCCTCGTTCAAAAGAAAAAAATGGATTAAGTAATTGAAAATTCTTTGCAGATTAATAATTTGACGTTATTTTTATTTTGCCTATTCCATCAATGAAGAAAAATGACAATATATGTTTTAAAATTTTTCAAAAAATTTCCAAAAATTGTTGAAACGGCAACTATGCTAAAGGAAGAAATACTGATTTATAGAGGATTCTTCGTAAATTCACAATCTGAGGTCATTTTTGTTCCATTCTTTGAAATAACTTAGAAAATTGTGAAAATATTTTACAAAAATTTTCCAAAAAATGTTAAAACGGTCTTCTTTCATAGAAAAAAATGGATTAAGTTATAAGGAATTCATTGCAGATGAATAATTTGACTTTATTTTTATTTTGTCTACTCCAACAACAGAGAAAAGTGACGAAATATGTTTTGAAAATATTTCAAAAAATTTCCAAAAATAGTCAAAACGGTAATTATGCGATAGAAAAAAAAACTGATTTATAGAGAATTCTTCGTAGATTCACAATCTGAGGTCGTTTTTGTTCTATTCCTTGAAATAACTTAGAAAAGTGTGAAAATATTTTCCAAAAATTTTCCAAAAAACCGTTAAAATGGTCTTCTTTCATTGCAGATTAATAATTTGACGATACTTTATTTTTACTCCAATAAAAAGTGACAAAATATGTGTCCAAAATTTTTCAAAAAAAATCCAAAAATTGTTAAAATGACAGCGATCCGAAAAGAAAAAATACTGATTTATAGAGAATTCTTCTGAGATTCACAATCTGAGGTAATTTTTGTTCTGTTTCTTGAAATAACAATAATAATTGTGAAAAAATTTTCTTTTTTCAAACGAAAAAATGGATTAAATAATAGAGAAAAATCTTTGCAGATTAATAATTTGACGTTATTTTTATTTTCTATTCCAGCAACCGAAAAAGTGACAAAATGTGTTTTCAAAATTTTTCAAAAAATTTCCAAAAATTGTTGAATCGGCAGCAATGAAAAAGGAAAAAAAATATTGGTTTAAAGAGAATTCTTCGTACATTTATATTCTAAGCTCATTTTTGTCATATCTACTCCTTGAAATGATTTAAAAAATTGTGAAAATATATATTTTCCAAAAATTTTCAAAAAAAAACATTAAAACTGCCTATTAAAAAAACAACAGTGGACGACTCGAACATTTCATCAAAGTAACGAATCTGAAGTAATATTCAAAGTATTTTTTCCTCCTTGGAGGACTGCGGTCAGAGCCACCTAGCGGTAGCGAAACAAAACAAGACAATTTCGTAGCCACCTTAAGGGAATTAAGCGGAGTCAAGGTGCACTACGACAACGGTGCTAAAAGGGGCAGGTAATTGGGTTAAGGTGGCGATTAAAGTTAAATTTTTGAAAAGGGCTGGGGGCGGCGTAATTGGACGGAAGATGGACGTAATCGAATAGTGAAGGACCGTAAAAATTTGCAAGGGAAATCCACGTTCCAAATCACGTGACAGCAAGTTAATTAAAATGCACCTTAAATTAAAGTCCTAATAAGCTTACCTCCAGCGAAACAAACAAGCGCATTTCAAAGCAAACTCACATTAATTAAGAATCGAAACTAAAACGATCCAAGCAAAGTTGGATGAAATAACGAGCCTCAATAATTAAGGAGCTAGATCGTCTTAAGCCTTAGAACTCCATCTTCAGACCGAAAAAAAAGTAATATACGTCTCATTTACCGATACTCAAGAGCGGTAATGTTAAGTGGAAGCCGGCTAATTAATACATTCTAATTAGCGAGCGAACTTGTAGTGCTTACGACGAAGTAACACAATGTCTTACATATTTTATCTTTTAGGAGCTCTAATCAAATCCGTTCATATTTAACAACAGCGACATGTGGTTGACATAAATAAAGCAAACTGCTGTGATTTGTCGCCTTTTCAATTAGCCCAATTATTTGGTTTAAGCGGCGGCGCAGTGGCGGCGCAATCACCCAGTTCAGAAGTCGCATTTTAATCACCACTGACCTGTAATTAACCAGAGCTCGCGGAGACAATCCTCTCTGCTGCGTTGTACATGAACCGGGACGTCGCCCTCGTTGCCGCCTTCCAGAGACTTGAATAAGAGGGCCCCCAGGAAGGCGTAGCCCGTCATGAGGACCAGAAGGCCCGTCCGACCGCAGAAAATGGCGGTGGTGCAGCGGCGACCGCCGCCGTCCTCCATCTCTACCAAAAAAGTAAAATATGCAACCAACCATTCAGCGGTGTATATCAAACATGCAACCAACTATACATTAGTGTATTTAAAGTTGCATAAGTTTCGCTGTGTGGGTTTGTGTGTTGACGTTTTGTTCGATTCTCGATGTCGTTAATAGTTCGTCGTGTACCTGTTTTTGCATCACGATCCCCTCGCAACAATAGAACAAAGCTAAACTCCTAATGGAAATACATCCCCAACTCTCCAAGACCTCCAACTTGCTCCCATTTAACTAAATTTGATTAAGCCAACTTCTAACGAACGAATAAAAGAAACTTGTCGCTGGCGCGCGAAACCCGCCCCCGATCCCACACTCGGACCCCCAATCCCCAAATCCCCTAATCCCGTCCACTCATCCGCAAAAATAAAACAATTACGATGCGAAATAACGCAGATAGCCGACCATAAAAATTCATTTTGGCGATTTATCCACCGCGGTTCTTTTGTCGCCAGCTTGGGCCCGAAAATCCCCAAATTTCGTTCACGTTCGAGTTAATAGGCGGTTTAATGACGCCGCCCCCGCGCCCCCCCGATAATTCAATTACCGACCGGGCTCCGGGAGGCCGCAAATCACTTTTTCGCCCGTGATCCGCATTCCGGTACGGTCCTGGACCGTGAATTTTTTACACGTCGTCGCTGGAGAATTGATGATGAGAAATGGCGGGGATTTGTCTTGTTGTGAGCGGAATTGTTTTAAATAATGCCGGCGGGGATTTTTGAATTAGGGGGGCTGGAGGAGCTGGGGGGCGTATTTAGAGTCGCCAGGAATTTCGGAAAATGAATTTTAATTAAATACGACGCTGCAAGGTCGGGGTTTGGAGCTTTGTGTGATTGACACGTCTTTGAGGGCGTCTGCAAGAAAAATTCGTGAGTAAAACAGAAAAAATTCGGGGTTTAAGCGTCGGAAACGATGGTTTTTGTGTTAATCTGGGGGATTTCGGGTGAAGTTGGTTGGTCGAGAGGTTGGCTCCTCAGGGGTCCAGCGGACAGCCTTGTTATTCGGAGTTTTCGCTAGTGACATTAAGTCGGCACGTTATCTGTCAAGTCCGCTTCGCATTTAGTATGTTTTAATTTAACTTTCCCGTTCTAGAATTTTTTTGATATTTTTAGCCATTTTCGCATTTAATACGTTTCCATTTTAACTACTTAGATTTTTTTTCAAATTTTTAAATTAATGCATTTAAAAATTCGTTCCCATCTCGATCTTTCCACCATTTCTATACAAAAATAAAATTTATCAAATATTATATTTTTTGCCTTTTTTCTTATTTTACGTAGTCGTCTTTTCAGAACAAGAAATTTAAAACATGTTTACAATGGTAAATTCTGGACAATTATGGATCTTGTAATTAAGCCCCGCCCCCCGGTCTGACAACGAATGAAAAATTCATCACGATTCAGATCGAGGCGGATGGGTGGGGCTTCTCTTTTCATCAGAATAGAGATAGGGTGGGTGGGCGGGGCTTATATTTTTTCTTTTTTTTTTTTAATAGTCATGGTCATCTTTTGACAACAAGAAACTTAGAACACTTTCCTTACACAAAATTTCCATTTTAAACATGTTTTAAGTTTCATGTGGTGAAAAGAAGTCAGGTCAAGTCAGATCAGGTCAAGTCAGATCAGGTCAAGTCAGGTCAGGTCAGGTCATGTCAGGTCCAATGATCGAAATATAGAAAAATGGAAAAATTTCAAATTAAAAAGTCCAAAAATTGGAAGATCAAGATATTCACACATGAAATGATGATGGAATGACCATAAGATCTAAAGATCTTCCAAATTCCGATTTTTCACTTTTTCAGTTTTTTTAAATTTTAGATTTTTGAATTTTTCAAATCTTCAATTTTTCGATGTTTTGATTTTTCAGTCCTTCGTTAGTTCTATTTATCGATTTGTCGAATTTTTGAATTTTTTCAAATTTCAGTTTTTTGATTTTTCAAAATGTAGTTTAAATTTAAATGTTTCGATCTTTTGATTTTTCGATTTTGGCCTATTTCGATTTCTCAATGTTTCGATTTTTCGGCTGTTCATATTTCAGTTTCTCGATCCTTTGACATTTCGATTTTGGAATTTTTCAGTTTCTCGATTTTCAGTTTTTCGATCCTTCGTTTTTCGATTTTTCAAATTTTCGGTTTTTAGATAATAGATTTGTAAATTTTTCAATTTTTTGCTGCTTCAATTTCTCGACTTTCCAGTTTTCGATTCTTCAATTTTCCTTTATATTAGCTTTTCATTTTTAAACATTAGATTTTTCCATTTCCCGAGTTTTCTTAATATACATTGTATTCTTTGAACAACAAGATACTCAAAACCATGTTTTTAATCCCATGTAAAGAAATTAGTATTTTGCAGTTAAGCTCCGCCCACTTGGTTGACGGCGAATAAAAAAAATCATCACAAATGAGATGGGGCGGGTGGGCGGGGCTACAATTTGCCTTTTTGTCTTAATATGTGTAGTTATCTTTTCACGACAAGAAACTTTAAACATGTTTAAAATGGTAAATTTGTATAGGGAAATATCGATTTTGCAATTAGACTCCGCCCCTCGGTCTGCCAACGAATAAAAAATTTATCAGGATTGAGATCGAGAAGGATGGGTGGAGCTTCTCCTTTGATTTTCTTTTTTAATTAATACATTTAGTTTTTTTTGTATAACCCGACTACTGAATAACATATTTCACATGGTAATTTCTCGTGGAAAAATAAGGATTTTATAATTAAGCTCCGCCCTTCGGCTTACGATGAATAAAAAAAATCGTCAGAATTGCGATAGGGCGGGTGGGCGGGGCTAATATTTTTCCTTCTTTTTCTTAATATACATAGTCATCTTTTCACAACAAGAAACTTAAAACATGGTTAAAATGGTACATGTTTTCAAGGAAATATAAATTTTGCAATTATGGGGCGGAGCCTAATAGCAAAATCGATATTTCCTTATACAAATTTTCCATTTTAAACATGTTTTAAGTTTCATATGGTGAAAACATGTCAGCCGAGGCCAGGTCAAGTCAAGTCAGGTCAGGTCAGGTCATGTCAGGTCCAATGAACGAAATATAGAAATATCGAAATTTAGAAAAATGGAAAAGTTTCAAATTAAAGCCCAAAAATTCAAAAATTGTAAGATCAAGAGATCCACTGATGAAATGATGATGGAATGACCACACGATCTAAAGATGTTCGAATTTCCGATTTTTCACTTTTTCAGTTTTTTAAATTTCAATTTTCGATTTTTTGATTTCTCTGTTTTCCGATTTTTCGACTTCGATTTTTGAATTTCCTGATTTTTAAATTTCAGTTTTTTAAATTTTACAATTTTCGATTTTTCTCTCTTTCAGTCCTTCGTTAGTTCTATTTTTCGATTTTTCGAATTTTTTAATTGTTTGCATTTTTCAGTTTTTTGATTTTTCAATATGTATTTTAAATTTAAATGTTTCGGTCTTTTAGTTTTCCGACATCTCAATTTTGGGAATTTTTGAATTTCAGAATTTTTCACTTTTTCGATTTTTTGATGTTTCGATTGTTCGATCTTTTGATTTTCGATTTCGTATTTTTTTCCTGTTTTTCAATCTTCCGATTTTTCGACTTTTCATATTTCAATTTCTCGATCCTTTGACATTTCGATTTTGAATTTTTCGATTTTCCAACTTTTCGTCATTTAAATTTGGGAATTTTTCAGTTTTTCGATTTTCATTTTTTCGATCCTTCATTTTTCGATTCTTCAATTTTTCGATTTTTAAATATGTAATAGAATTGTGAATTTTTCAATTTTTTGCTGTTTCGATTTCGCGACTTTCCAATTTTTCGATTCTTCAATTTTCCGATATATTGGCTTTTCATTTTTAAATATTAGATTTTTCGATTTCCCGAGTTTTCTTAATCTACATAGTATTGTTTGAATAACACGATACTCAAAACCATGTTTTTAATTTTATGTAAAGAAATTAGTATTTTGCAGTTAAGCTCCGCCCACTTGATTCACGGCGAATAAAAAAAATCATCACAATTGAGATGGGGCGGGTGGGCGGGCTTTCATTTTGCCTTTTTGTTTTAATGTGTGTAGACTTCTTTTCACAACAAGAAACTCAAAACATGTTTAAAATGGACAAATTGTATAAGGAAATATAGATTTTGAATTAAGCCCCGCCCCCCGATCTGACAAGGAATGAAAAATTCATCACGATTCAGATCGAGGCGGATGGGCGGGACTTATATTTTTCCTTCTTTTTCTTAATAGTCATGGTCATCTTTTCACAACTTATAACATGGTTAAAATGGTACATTTTTGCAAGGAAATATGAATTTTGCTATTATGGGGCGGAGCCTAATAGCAAAATCGATATTTCCTTATACAAATTTTCCATTTTAAACATGTTTTAAGTTTCATGTGGTGAAAACAAGTCCGCCCAGGCCAGGTCAGGTCAGGTCAGGTCATGTCAGGTCCAATTGTCGAAATATAGAAAAATCGAAGTTTAGAAAAATGGAAAAATTTCAAATTAAAAAGTTCAAAAATTCAAAAATTGGAAGATCAAGAGATCCACTGATGAAATTCTTTCAGTTTTTTAAAATTCAATTTTCGATTTTTTGATTTCTCGGTTTTCCGATTTTTCGACTTCGATTTTTGAATTTCCTGATTCTTAAATTTTTCGATGTTTTGATTTTTCAGTTTTTTAAATTTTACAATTTTCGATTTTTCGCTTTTTCAGTCCTTCGTTAGTTCTATTTTTCGAATTTTTGAATTTTTATATTTTTCATTTTTTTGGTTTTTCAATATGTATTTTAATTTAAATGTTTCGATATTTTAGTTTTCCGACATTTCAATTTTGGGAATTTTTGAATTTCAGAATTTTTCGCTTTTTCGATTTTTTGATGTTTCGATTTCTCGACTTTCCAATTTTCCGATATATTGGCTTTTCATTTTTAAATATTAGATTTTTCCATTTGAGTTTTCTTAATATACATAGTATTATTTGAACAACACGATACTCAAAACCATGTTTTTAATTTCATGTAAAGAAATTAGTATTTTGCAGTTAAGCTCCGCCCACGTGGTTGACGGCGAATAAAAAAAATCATCACAAATGAGATGGGGCGGGTGGGCGGACCTACAATTTGCCTTTTTGTCTTAATATGTGTAGTTATCTTTTCACGACAAGAAACTTTAAACATGTTTAAAATGGTAAATTTGTATAGGGAAATATCGATTTTGCAATTAGACTCCGCCCCTCGGTCTGCCAACGAATAAAAAATTTATCACGATTGAGATCGAGAAGGATGGGTGGAGCTTCTCCTTTGATTTTCTTTTTTAATTAATACATTTAGTTTTTTTTGTATAACCCGACTACTGAATAACATATTTCACATGGTAATTTCTCGTGGAAAAATAAGGATTTTATAATTAAGCTCCGCCCCTCGGCTTACGATGAATAAAAAAAATCGTCAGAATTGCGATAGGGCGGGTGGGCGGGGCTAATATTTTTCCTTCTTTTTCTTAATATACATAGTCATCTTTTCACAACAAGAAACTTAAAACATGGTTAAAATGGTACATGTTTTCAAGGAAATATAAATTGTGCAATTATGGGGCGGAGCCTAATAGCAAAATCGATATTTCCTTATACAAATTTTCCATTTTAAACATGTTTTAAGTTTCATGTGGTGAAAACATGTCAGGCCAGGCCAGGTCAAGTCAAGTCAGGTCAGGTCAGGTCATGTCAGGTCCAATGATCGAAATTTAGAAAAATGTAAAAGTTTCAAATTAAAGCCCAAAAATTCAAAAATTGGAAGATCAAGAGATCCACTGATGAAATGATGATGGAATGACCATACGATCTAAAGATGTTCGAATTTCCGATTTTTCACTTTTCAGTTTTTTTAAATTTCAATTTTCGATTTTTTGATTTCTCTGTTTTCTGATTTTTCGACTTCGATTTTTGAATTTCCTGATTCTTAAATTTTTCCATGTTTTGATTTTTCTGTTTTTCTAAATTTTACAATTTTCGATTTTTCGCTCTTTCAGTCGTTCGTTAGTTCTATTTTTCGAATTTTTTAATTTTTATATTTTAAATATAAATGTTTCGATCTTTTAGTTTTCCGACATTTCAATTTTGGTAATTTTTGAATTTCAGAATTTTTCACTTTTTCGATTTTTTGATGTTTCGATTGTTCGATCTTTTGATTTTCGATTTCGTATTTTTTTGCTGTTTTCAATCTTTCGATTTTCCGGCTTTTCATATTTCAATTTCTCGATCCTTTGACATTTCGATTTTGAATTTTTCGATTTTCAAACTTTTCGTCATTTCAATTTTGGAATTTTTCAATCTTTCGGTTTTTAAATAATAGATGTGTGAATTTTGCAGTTTTTTGCTGTTTCGATTCCTCGACTTTCCAATTTTCCGATATATTGGCTTTTCATTTTTAATTATTAGATTTTTCGATTTTTTTCTTAATATACATAGTATTGTTTGAATAACACGATACTCAAAACCATATTTTTAATTTTATGTAAAGAAATTAGTATTTTGCAGTTAAGCTCCGCCCACTTGGTTGACGGCGAATAAAAAAAATCATCACAATTGAGATGGGGCGGGTGGGCGGGCTTACATTTTGCCTTTTTGTTTTAATGTGTGTAGACTTCTTTTCACAACAAGAAACTTAAAACATGTTTAAAATGGATAATTTGTATAAGGAAACATAGATTTTGCAATTAGACTCCGCCCCTCGGTGTGTCAACGAATGGGTGGAGCTTCTCTTTCGATTTTCTTTTTTAATTATGTAATACATTTAGTTTTTTTTTTATAACCCGACTACTGCAGAACATATTTCTCATGCTAATTTCTCGTGGAAAAATAAAGATTTTATAATTAAGCTTCGCCCTCGGCTTACGATGAATAAAAAAAAATCGTCAGAATTGCGATAGGGCGGGTGGGTGGGGCTTATATTTTTCCTTCTTTTTCTTAATATATATAGTCATCTTTTCACAACAAGAAACTTAAAACATGGTTAAAAGGGTACATTTTTGCAAGGAAATAAAAATTTTGCTTTTATGGGGCGGAGCTTAATTGCAAAATCGAATTTCTTTTACAAATTTTCCATTTTAAACATGTTTTAAGTTTCATGTTGTCAAAAGAAGTCTACACATTTTAAAACAAAAAGGCAAAATGTAAGCCCGCCCGCCCACCCTATCTCAATTGTGATGATTTTTTTTATTCGCCGTGAGTGGCGGAGCTTAACTGCAAAATACTTATTTCTTTACAGGAAATGAAAAACATTTTTCCAGTATCCTGTTATTCTAAGAATAGTACGTACATTAAGAAAAAATGACAAAATATAAACCCCGCCCACCCACCCTATCTCAATTGTGATGATTTTTTTTATTCGCCGTGAAACAAAGGGGCGGAGCTTAACTGCAAAAAACGTATTTCTTTACAGGGAATTAAAAACATGTTTTCGAGTATCGTGTTGTTCAAAGAATACTACGTACATTAAGAAAAAATGACAAAATATAAACCCCGCCCACCCGCCCTATCTCAATTGTGATGATTTTTTTATTCGCCGTGAATCAAGGGGGCGGAGCTTAACTGCAAAATACTTATTTCTTCACAAGAAATTAAAAACATATTTTTGAGTGTCGTGTTGTTCAAAGAATACTATGTACATTAAGAAAAAAACACAAAATATAAAAAAAATAAATAAAATTTGTCAAATCGGTAATGATTTTCTGAGGATCACAAATATGTGCTTATTGTCGTCGTACCTCTTCAAATGATGGAAAAAAATTGAAGTTTTAAACCGGAAACTAAAGTTAGGTTTAAATTTTTCAAAGGGTCGTTGATTATTTTTTGATCTGAGTGGATTTAGTTTAAAGCTGTTATGTCCAGATTGGACTCCTCAGGGGTTCAGCGTGCGGTCTTGCGTTTTCTCTAGTGACATTCTCGTCCTAGATGTTTTAAATCATTTTTTAATTACTTAATTCCTTTAAAAAATAGTTCCGATCTCGGCGCTTCCACCATTTTTGTACAAAAATTAAACTTCTCAAATCGGTTCAACAGCGATTTTCTGAAGTTCACGAATATGTGGTTATTGTCGTATTTCTTCAAATGATGGACAAAAATGAAGTTTTCAACTTGCTCAAAAATTCTGGCTTTAAATTTCTCAAAGGGTCGTTGTTTATTTTTTAATCTGCGTGGATTTCGCTTGAAGTTGTTAGATCGAGAGATTGAGCTCCTCAAGGGTCCAGGTTGAAGCCTTGTTATTCTGCGTTTTCGTTAATGACATTAAGTCGGCACATTTTCTGCCTAGCGCGCTTTGCATTTAGTACGTTTTAATTTAGCTCCAGTGTCGTCCTAGAATTTTTTTGATACTTTTTGCTCGGCGCCTCCACCATTTTCGCATTTAACATGTTTTCATTTTTACTCCTCTCGCCCTAGATTTTTTTTCATAATTTTTTAAATTAATGCATTTAAAAATTATATCCCATCTCGACGCTTCCGTCGAAAAAAGTTTCAAACCGGAAACTAAAGTTTGGATTAAATTTCTCAAACGATTTCGTTTAAATCAGTTATGTCGAGTTGGGCTCCTCAGGGGTCCAGCGTGCATCCTCGTTATTCTGCGTTTTCGCCAATGACATTAAGTCAGCACATTATCCGGCTATTTCGACTCAAAATAAAATCAAGAGCGAATTCCGGGTCCCTTCGCATTAACCGTGTTTTCATACGCAGCCTTCATTTCTCCCACTCATATTTTTTTAACTCCTCTCGAGTTTCGTGTTGATTCTCTCATTTCACGCCCGACGGAATCAATAATCTCTTGAATAAATAAAATCTCAGTTTTTAAAAAGCTCTCTTGATCGAGGAACGCCGCTCCTCTGCTCCGAACTCCACTTTGGAGAGTTCGAGCGACTTTGAAACCGTTTTAAAACTATAATGGGAAAACTAGAGAGTTGAAAACTGCAATGTCAGTGCCATTAATACGACGTCTTTTATGTTGTCGGAACGATAGAGGCGGAGGAATCCCGGGGAAGGTCCCAAAGGACGACAAGAGATATTGCAATTTGTACACAATGTTGCTCGTTAGGATGCCAACGGCATACGGGAACTCTTTGCGTTTTAATTTTAATTAAATCAGAGGGACCGTTGGGAAAAGTGCGTTTTTATGAACCGGACAAGGTGCAGAGATTCTGAACACGTAAAAATTAACATTTTTTTAGTATCGTTATTAATGAAAGATGTGTAAGAATCAAAGTTTAATAGAGTCGATGACGTAAACCCGGCGCGTGACGTAATTTTTCAAGTCTCGCCAAACGGCCGAACTTCCCTCATCCGTAATAACGCCCTTCTTACACCCATTTCCGCCCAAGCCACCATACATAATACACTCCGGCTCCACCTGATCTCTAAAAAACTACCCTCGTTGAACCTCAAGTATCCGAGAAAATCCCGCGATTAATCCTCCACTTTCCTAGGTAGAAGAGAGTGCCTCCATAATTCAAAACCGCCCACAACTCCCCCAATAAAATCGCCAAGTCGTCCCCGAAATCCCGCCCCCATCAATCACCCCCTAATCTAAACACCAAGAAGAAAGCACTCACTGCGAGCGATGACCACAGCTAAGCCACTCACTGCGCTTCTCGCAAATCGCTAGTCGGCATCACGGAGCGTCGCGACGCTGGACGTCGCTCTCGGGCGCCGCGCGCGGAACAACTGACGCTCGAGCGACGCCGCCGCCGCGCTCGGACGCTGCAGTTCGGACCCGCCGCCCCCGAACTGCTCCTATTTGTTGCACGCGCTAATTAGTCGCTATTTATTTACTTTTCGAAGTGGCGCGGTAGCGACTGCTGGAGAGTGGCGCCATCTGCTAACGAGCGGTTGCCATGGCGATGTTTGTTGTGAGTGTTTGTTGACGTTTGGAGTTATGTCGGGAAAACAATTAAAGCGGGATGATAACGGGGTGCTGCGACTGGACGGGGGCAAGGTGGGTGGGCGCTGGTTTGTTTAGGTTTTAATGATTTTTTTTAGATTTGTTTGGAGGCGAGACCCCCGAGCAAGGCGAGCACGGCGAGCTCGAAGAGCTCGATGTTGACGAGGTTCTATTCGAGGCCTGTGTCAGCAGTGCCCCTTCTGGCGCTGAATAAGGTGAGGGTTGATGGCGGAGGTGCTCAGGACGAGATTTTTGTTGCAGGATGATGGCGACGGAGATTTCAAGAGTAAACGACCCTTTTCGGCTGAGTATCTTCCCAGTAGTTACCTTAATAGGTTGAATTCGAGGGTTTCGACGAGGGAGCAGAGTATTGACAGTCTGGAGAGCGTTCAAGGTGGGTGGGCGATTAACTTAACAAACTCATATGTTCCTAAATGGATTGCAACTTTCAAGGAACATTCGTTTGAGTACTAGATGTTAACCGACGACGTCCAGTCCGAAAAATCGATGACGTCATGTGCGTTTTGCCAGCCCCGTAGCTAGCAAACTTATTCGGGGGGGGCAAGTTTGTCGACAGAGGGGGCTTCATGTAAATATTTATATTTTAATAATACACTCAGATAACTACTTTATTTTTTCTGAGTTTTTATATTTGAAAGAACATTAAAATAATTGGAAACGTCGATTTTTTACGCTAAATTTTCGTAAAAACCTGTCGAAGTCCAAAAAATTAGTACGGTACTTGGTTAAAATGCTGGTTAAAACAGAGAATGTAGATTCACAAACAGCTGTACTGCATCCAAAAATTTGTGTAGTGGCCATATAGGTAACATCCAATTTGTTTGAGTTTATTTTTTTGCATGTTTAGTACATATTTTAAAAATCCGACTTCGAAACCAAATATTTCGAAACTGTTGGTACGCAACCATGTTTTTTTAAACTCGTCGAGATGTGTATTTCAGAATTTTTTGTCAACTTTAACAAAAGCTCAATTTTTGGAAACCCATATAAAATTTTTGACTTTTCCCAAGCATTTTCGAAAATTACCAAAAGAATTCCTTTGTTCATCTCGATTTCTTCCAAAAATCGTTTTGGATTAAATTTTTTTGAAAATTCTTACATTTTTTGCAGAATCGACGGAAGAAATATGGCAATTTTTGAGAACCTGTATCAAATTTTTGACTTTTTTCAAGCACGTTCGAAATTACCAAAAGGGATTCCTTTATTGATTTCGATCTCCAGATGTTGTTTTTGGTTGTTTTTTCGAAAATTCGTACAATTTTTCCATAATCGCCAAAAGAAATATGGTAATTTTTGAGAAATTTTGAAAATTCCAGCTCGAAACCGAGTATTTCGAAAATTTTGATCCGGAACCTTGAACCGGTCATGTTTTTTTAAGCTCGTCGAAATCTATATTTCAGAATTTTTTGTCAACTTTTACGAAAGTTCAATTTTTGAAAACCCATATAAAATTTTTGGCTTTTCCCAAGCATTTTCGAAAATTACCAAAAGAGATTCCTTTGTTCATGTCGATTTCTAGAAATCGTTTTGGATTCAATTTTTTTGAAAATTCTTACATTTTTTCCAGAATCGACGGGAGAAATATGGCAATTTTTGAGAACCTGTGTCAAATTTTTTACTTTTTTTCAAGCACGTTCGAGATTACCAAAAGGGATTCCTTTATTGATTTCGATCTCCAGATGTTGTTTTTGGTTATTTTTTCGAAAATTCGTACAATTTTTCCATAATCGCCAAAAGAAATATGGTAATTTTTGAGAAATTTTGAAAATTCGAGCTCGAAACCGAGTATTTCGAAAATTTTGATCCGGAACCATGAACCTGTCATGTTTTTTTAAGCTCGTCCAAATCTATATTTCAGAATTTTTTGTCAACTTTTACGAAAGTTCAATTTTTGAAAACCCATATAAAATTTTTGGCTTTTCCCAAGCATTTTCGAAAATTACCAAAAGAGATTCCTTTGTTCATGTCGATTTCTAGAAATCGTTTTGGATTCAATTTTTTTGAAAATTCTTACATTTTTTCCAGAATCGACGGGAGAAATATGGCAATTTTTGAGAACCTGTGTCAAATTTTTTACTTTTTTTCAAGCACGTTCGAGATTACCAAAAGGGATTCCTTTATTGATTTCGATCTCCAGATGTTGTTTTTGGTTGTTTTTTCGAAAATTCGTACAATTTTTCCACAATCGCCAAAAGAAATATGGTAATTTTTGAGAAATTTTGAAAATTCGAGCTCGAAACCGAGTATTTCGAAAATTTTGATCCGGAACCATGAACCTGTCATGTTTTTTTAAGCTCGTCCAAATCTGTATTTCAGATTTTTTTGTCAACTTTACGAAAGTTCAATTTTTGAAAATCCATATAAAATTTTTGACTTTTTCCAAGCATTTTCAAAGATTATCAAAAGAGACTCCTTTGTTCATCTCGATTTTCAAAAATCGTTTTGGATTCAATTTTTTTGAAAATTCTTACAATTTTTCCAGAATCGACGGAAGAAATATGGCAATTTTTGAGAACCTGTATCAAATTTTTGACTTTTTTTCAAGCACGTTCGAGATTACCTAAAGGGATTCCTTTATTGATTTCGATCTCCAGATGTTGTTTTTGGTTTTATTTGGTTGAAAAGTCGTAAAATTTTTCAGCAATCGCCAAACGAAATGTAATTTTTGAACTTTGAAACCGAATGTTTCGAAAATCTTGATCTGGGACCATCTAGACCTTGTGTTTTTTGATTGAGCTCGTCGAGATCAACATTTCAGATTTTTTTGTGGATTTTTAGTCAACTTCAACAAAAGCTAAATTTTTGAAAATCAATAAAATGTTCTTGACTTTTCCCAACCGTTTTCGAAAATTAGCAAAAGGGATCTCTTTATCGATTTCGATCTCCAAATGTTGTTTTTGGTTTTATTTTCTCGAAAATTTGTACAATTTTTCCAAAGCCGCCAAAAGAAATGTAATTTTTGAGAAATTTTGAAATGTCGACTTTGAAACGGAATTTTTCGAAAATCTTGGTCTGGGACCATCAAGACCTTATGTTTCTGGATTAAGCTCATCGAGATCTACATCTCGGAATTTTTTGTTGATTTTTTGTTAATTTCAACAAAAGCTCAATTTTTGAAAATCCATATGTACATTTTTTGACTTTTCCCAAGCATCTTCGAAAATTAGCAAAAGGGATCTCTTTATTGATTTCGATCTACAGATGTTATTTTTGGTTTTATTTTTTTGGTATTTCGTCGAATTTTTCCACAATCGCATAAAGAAATAACTTTTTTTTAAGTCACTTTTGAGATTTTTTAGAAATTTTACGTAGAAACCCAATATTTCGTAAATTTTGCTCCGGGAGCATGAACATGTTTTTCGATTAAGCTCATCGAGATCTATATTTCAGAATTTTTTGTCAACTCTAACGAAAGCTCAATTTTTGAAAACTAAATAAATTTTGACTTTTCTTAAGCATTTCCAAAAATTACCAAAAGTCATTCTTTTATTTATTTCAATCTTCAGATGTTGTTTTTGGTTTTATTTGATCGAAAATTTGTAAAATTTTTCTAGAATCGTCAAAAGAAATAGGAGTATAATTTTTGAGAAATTTTAAAAAGTCGACTTGGAAACCGAATAGCAGCAAGACCTTATGTTTTTTGACTAAACTCGTCGAGATCTACATCTCAGAATTTTTTGTAGATTTTTAGCCAATTTCAACAAAAGCTCAATTTTTGAAAATCTATAAAAAAAATTTGACTTTTCCCACGCATTTTCGAAAACTAGCAGAAGGGATCTTTTTATTGATTTCGATCTCCAAATGTTTTTTTTGGTTTTATTTTTTCGAAAATTCGTACAATTTTTCCAGAACCGCCAAAAGAAATGTAATTTTTGAGAAATTTTGAAATGTCGACTTTGGAACCGAATTTTTGAAAAATCTTGGTCTGGAACCATCAAGACCTTATGTTTTTTGATTAAGCTCATCGAGATCTACATCTCAGAATTTTTTGTCGATTTTTTGTCCATTTCAATAAAAGCTCAATTTTTAGAAAATCCATATAATATTTTTGACTTTTCTCAAGTACATAGTAGGCTATGGAATAAAATGTGACATGTTCATTTTTTTATAGGGTGATATTGCCAAATAATATACCCTGTAAGAAAATAAAGGTGGAGCGGGTGGGGCCAGTTAATATGCTTCGGCAATCGGCATTATATTGAAATTTTATTACTAATTTGAAATTTATGATGTATAAGTCTTCCAGGGGGGGCAACCACAATTGCTAGGGGGGGCTCAGCCCCCTCTTGCCCCACCGTAGCTACGGGGCTGCGTTTTGCGGATTTCGAGTATACAGCTCACGTTCCCGGAATTATTTCAGGCTGACCTCCAGACATAGTTCGAGTTCCCGAATATCTGGAATTCCCTCATCTCCAACAAATAATATTTTTGCACTACGCACATAAACTTAACTCCAACTTCTTTAAATTAAATTCCCGACGAACTTCCCAACTCTCACTCCACCATTAAACATATATATTTCACATGCGATAAAGTAGACTTTTATCGAACATAATGACGACATCCACCCCACCCCCACACGGGCCTCCCATTGATTTCCTCATAAACTTCAAAATGACTCACAAATACATAAATAATTTTATTGAACAAACACTCTAATTTCGTCCATTAAAACAACCGCAAGTTTACTAGAAAGAACCATAAAGTATTTACGCCCGTTTAATCCCAGGTGGCTGTTAAAAACAAATATCAAATTTCCAGACGAATCGTTATCGTCGGCTGCTCTCCTCAAAAATTTACTGTCCGAACCGATCAAGTCCTGGAGGAATTATTCCGGGAGTAAAAGCGAAGAAACTAAAGAAGAGCGTCTTCTTACTCCGGGGGTCGTTTCTAAACCCCCTCTCCCCAAAAAACCCGACTCGTCTAAGACCGAAGATCCAGGTGTCAGCGCCATCCACGACTATTTGACCCTAAAGTACGACAAAGAGCGCGAGAAAAGTGCAGACAACAAGATCGAGAAGGCTCCCAGTGACGATTCAGCTATCAATTTAATAACGTTGGACGACGTCAGCCAAAACGACAAAGACGAACGAGACGACGTGCAGAAGCTCCACATCCAGAACTGGATAGACGAAAAGAACGAAGACACAGAAGCGGAATGGGAAGATCCCAAACAAATCCCCAACTTGAGTGACCTAGACATCGACGATCTCTTCAAGGACGACAGCGAGAAGAAGTTTGACAATTTCTTCCGAAACGTTGAAGATAAAAGTCCCAAGAAAAAAACCAAAGCTTCGCCTAAACCCAAGGTTAAATTTACGGCGACTCCGATTAGAGCGGATCCGGATTATGCAGAGAGTTGCGAAAACAACGAAGTCGAGACTTGGTTGTCGAAGAAACCCGAGAAGAAGACGAATTTCTTGGATTTTTTGAACAACATAGATGAATTGGAGAAGAGCATGTCTTTGACTGGGGTCGATATTTCGCACGATGTTCCTCAACACGATACCGAAACGACCCCTAATAGTCCGACTTACGACGACATCGCAGCCATTTTGAAAGTTCTCGAAGACGAAGATAAGAAATCACGTAATATCGCGTTTTGGGGGTTCTTTTTGATAATCGTTTTTTGCAGAGTTGAAGATGGAAACGATGAAACAGTTGGTTGATTCAGAGATTTCGGGTCAACCGTTACCATTGACCGTGGAAGATCACAAAAATGAAGATACCAAGTTTTCGGATTCTCAGAAAACGATTTTAGAGTCAGACCAAACTATCAAAAATGTGAAACCTAACATTGTTGTGTCTGAACACGACAATAACACCAAAACTCACACTTCTATTCACTCGTCGTCAAACTATAAGTAGTCACTTAATATTGTTTAGTACTTCCACTGACTTAACATTTCCAGGGAGCTTCTTTCGTTTCTAGACGAAGTGGACAGAAGCTGCTCCAAACCCCTAACCGAAGTCAAAGTCGAAGAACGACCAAAAATCAAATTAGACACAATACCGAGGTGAGACGGTCACACTTTTGACACTTTTGCTACTTCGACTTGTCTGCAGACTCGAAGACTTGTTGACTTTCACCCCCGAAGAACTCGCCCACCAAATCGTCTCCTTGTCCCTCAAACTCAAAGAAAAATCGTCCTCCATTGCCCTCCTCCAATCCGAAGTCTCCTCCCTCCGTGCTCAAATCGTCACCTCCACGAAAAAAACCGACCAAACCCTCAAACACACCCTCCGAACCCAGAAGGAAGACTACGAAGCCACGATCAAGCGCCACCAGAAGTTCATCGACCAGTTGATCAACGACAAGAAATCCCTCAACCAACAGTGCGAAGGTCTCGTTTCCGAAATGAAATCCCTCGAGGAGCGCCACCAATCCAACCTCAAAGCCATCGAGCACAAGAACCACGTCGAGATGCAGAAAGTCAAGGAGATGGCGGCTGCCGGGGAGAAGTTGCGACGGGAGAGATGGATCGATTCCAAGACGCAGAAGATCAAGGAGTTGACTGTGAAAAGTATAGAGCCGGAGTTGCACAACTTGGAGAAGAGGCAGCAGCAGGAGTTGACGGATTTGCGGATGCTGCATCGCAAGGAGATCGAAGATCTGGAGTTGAAGAACGCGAGGAGGACGCAGGAGCAGTGCGAGGCGTTGAGGGTGCAGCTGGTGGAGGAGCGGGAGAAGGCGTTGGCGCACGAGAGGGAGGTTATGAGGGTGAGGTACGAGAAGATGGTGGAAGCGGAAGAGAAGGGGTTGCAGGAGCAGAGAAGGAGGCTGCTGGGGGATCACGCGGCGAGGATTGCGGAGTGCGAGCAGAGGGAGGTTCTGGCGAATAATGAGAAAGAGAGAGGGATAAAGCAAGCACAGGAGGATTTTGAAGAGAGACTACAGATGGTGATTAGGAGGCATGCCAATGAGATTAAGTTGGTTAAAGAGACGGCGAGCTTGGAGATGGAGACGTGGCAAAACAACTACAAGAAGCAACAAACCGTGCTTTTGGCGGAGAAAGAAGCCTTGATTAGAGAGCAATGTAGACGAGAAAGAGACAAAGAGATCGAGAGCGTGATCGAGCGACTGGAATCAGAAGCCAGTGAAACGAAAACCCAGCTGGAACAGTCGACGGAAAATAGGATCAAGAGACTACGGGAAAAGTACGACAAGGAGATTGCGGATTTGGAAGAGAGCGAGAAAGAAGCTAAAAATAAATATCTCGAGGTTAAGAAGAAACTAGTGGATGAAGAAGACGTGATTATTAGTCTTAGAGCGACAATTGAACACTTGAAGGGTCAGTTGGAGGTGTCAAAAGCGGCAACTGTGAAGCTACAAGACGAAAGAGAAGCGATGAGGGAGATTTTGAAGAACGAGTTAAAGCGGGAGATGGAAGGGTTGGAAATGGAGTTGACGACGGTGAAGAATTCCAGAGAAAACGAGATACAACAACTATATTCCAGAGTGAAGGTTGCAATTGCGCGGAAAGACGAAGTCCTGGAGGAACTAACCCGAGACCACAAAGCCTTGCAAGAAAAGTGTTCATATTTGGAGAACATGTTGGAACAACAAAGAAAGGAATATCTAATCAAGTAGTATAATTTTACAACTTTTACATTACAATTTAACTTTATTCTAATAAAATATACAGACTAAGTCGATACAATTTATTGACTTAAAGACTGTCCCAGAACTCGTATCTCTCCCGATGCAGCCCCTCCTTGACGCTCAGTTCTTCCCCAATCTCCAGATACTTCCTCGTCGACGCATTATACCCCTCCCACTCAACCCCCGCGATCGGTTTACTAAAACAATAAACAATCAACCCAACATCACCATTATCAAAATCCAATACCCGGTTTTGGCGAAAGTAGTCCATAACAGAGTTAGCTTCTCGACCATTTCCCTCTCCGGATAATCCTCGTTAAAGAAAGGAAACAAAGGTAAAATATAAAAGAGATAAATTAGATCGTCGTGGTGGACGGGGCCTGTTAAAATTTACGACACTCACAAAAATACTACCACCATTGTTTAAGTATATTATAGTTGGACAACCTATACGGACAATCACTTTCCCATGTAGAAAAGAATGAATATATATTTTACATCTCACTCGCTTCACTATGAAGTGGCGGTACCTTACGAAAGGGGGTAAAAATAGTCCGTAAGCACGTGATGTCGATAAGGTAGTAAACGGACGTATTAATCACTACGTTGTACGGGGAGCAGTCACAAAATAAGCAAACGTACGTGTTGAAGACTTTGCATATATGTAATATATGTATATGTAGTGCATACCTGTTTCAAGGTTAAGGTAACAAAAATTTAATATTATCGCAGTATACCTTCTTACGTATTTTTTTCATTAGCAGTAGTCAAATCATTAAATACATATTATCTTTGAAACTAAAATGCATTTTATCCTAAGATTGTATCACAAAATATTCATCACCATATAAATATATACAATTTAGACATCAAGAAATAAATTTAAAATTGCAAAAATTATATCTAGCAGACTTAAAACAGCCTTAAATGTGTCTTGTATGTACGTGCTTATCAGTATGTAGGCATTTTAACGCACAGCAATAATCGTTCTTTATGAGTAATGACTGATGACTACTGTGACACAGTAAATCCTCGAAATCGAAAATTTAAAACACTAAAAAATTCAAATATGGAAAAATTGTAAAATCGAGAAATCGAAACATAAAAGAATCAAAAAAATAAAAATTGGAAAATCTAAAATTTAAAAATCGAGAAATTGAACAATCAGTTAATTCAAAAATCGAAACATCGAAAAATTGGAAAATCGAAAAATAAAAAAAAATTGGACAATCGAAAATTTAAAAATTCCGAAAATTGAAAAATTGAAATATAGAAGAACTGAAAACTCAAAACATCGAAAAAAATTAATAATTTAAAAATTGAAAAGTTAAAATTGAGAAATCGAAAAACTGAAAAATCACAAAATTGAACGAAATATCAAAAAATTGGGAAATTAACAAATTGAGAAACAGAAAAGTCAAATAAGCAGAGTCTAAAAATCGCAAACTTAAAAAATCGAAAAAGTGAAAAACAAAAACCCAAATAATAGAAAAATTGAAGAACTGAAGAACTGAAAAATCAACGAATCGAGAAGTCGAATTGGACAATTGAAAAATCGGATAAACCAAAAATCGAAACATCGAAAAATCGAGAAACCGAAAAGCAAAAAATCGAAAAACCAACAAATCGAAAAATCGAAACATTGTAAAATTCAAAAATTGAGACATCGAGAAATCGAAAAATCAAAAAATTGAGAAACCGAAATAGGCCAAAATCGAAAAATCGAAAACTTAAATATGGAAAAATTGATAAAGCGAGAGATTGAATAATCAAAACATCGAAACATCCGAATGTCAATAAATTGAGATCTCAAAAAATTTAAAAATTCGGAAATTTAAAAAATTAAAATATAGAACTGGAAACTCGAGAAACCGAAAAATCTAGAAATTTAAAAATTACAATACGGAAAAGTTGAAAAATTGAGAAATTGAAATAAAAAACAAAAAACTGAAAATCCAAAAATAAAAAATAGAAAAATCTTGAAGTCGAAAAATGAAAGAATCGAAGTATTGAAAAATATCAAAACTGAAAGAAATATCCAAAAATTGAGAAATCGACAAACCAATAAAGCGAAGTCGAAAAATCGAAGAATTGAAGAACTGAAAAATCGAAACTTTGAGAAGTGGGAAAATCAAAAATAGATTAATTGAGAAATCAGAAAACTGAAAATTTAACGCAAAAATTTGAAAAATTGAAAAATTGAAAAATCGGGACATTGAAAAATTGGAAAATCCAGAAATTGAAAAGCTCAAAAGAAAAAAATCGAAAAACCGAAAAACCCAAAAATCGAAACATCGAAAAATTCAAAAACTGAGACTTCGAGAAATCGAAAAATCGGAGGATCGAGAAATTGAGGAGTCGGAAGCCGAAAAGGAAAGTTAAAAATTGAAAAATTGAGAAATTGGACAATCAAAACAACGAAACATCTGAATTCAATAAATTGAGAAAATAAAAAATTGAATAATCGAAAAATTTTAGAAAAGAAAAACTGGAAAATCGAAAATTAAAATTAAAAAAATCGAAAAATTGAAAAATTGAAATATAGAAGAACTGAAAACTCGAAATATCGAAAAACCTAGAATTTAAAAAAATGAAATATTAAAACATCGAAAAGTTTAAAAATTGAGAAATCGAAGCATTAAACAGTCGCAGAATTGAAAAATCTAAAGTTTACAATAAATTGAAAATCCAAAAAGTAAAAAATCGAGAAATCAAAAAAATCCGTCAATTCAAAAATCGAAAAGTCGAAAAATTGAAATATTGAAAAATCTCATAACTGAAAGAAATATTCAAAAAATTGAGAAATTAAAAAATTGGAAAACTGAGAAATCGAATTGAAGAATTGAAGATGTGAAAAATCTAAACTTTAGGAAGTCCAGAAATGGACAAATAAAAAAAAATACTTTAGAAATCGGCAAACTGAAAATTTAGAAACGTGAAAATTTGAAAATTGAAAAATCGAAATATTTAAAAACCGTAAAATTGAAGAGGACAAAAATTGAGAAATCGTATCATTGAAACATCGAAAGATTGAGAAATCGAAAAATAAAAAAATCAAGAAATAGAAAATTTAAAGAATGGAGGAATCGGAAAAGCCCAAAATTGAAATATTGAAAAATTGAGACATTTAAAGTTGAAAAATCGAGAAATCGACAAGACGAAAAATCCCAATAGCGTATTTAGGTATAAATCACAAGATCAGGACTATTCTACTTTTTAAAATTTAAATAACATTATAAATTGGAAAATGTTGATTTTTTTTCCAAAAATCTTGACGTCTAAGCTGAAAACTCGACACGGATGCATAAACCGTAAACGGGGCGAAACTACAATTTTACTATTGTAAAATTCGACAAATTTTGGAGAGTGTAATTTGATAATACAATTTGAAATGTAAATTTTGTCATTCGGGAACATTATGTATTAAATTGTTAAGATGTTCAAGAACTTTGTTCACTTATTCGTTTTAAAGTCCAATGGTCGAAATGGGTTAGTTCTTCGTAGTTGATGTGTATCACATCAACTCTAACGAATATCGGTTTATAGATAAATCGCTTAAAGCCGATATTGGCCTGAGTGTGCTTTGGTCTGTAGATCAAACAAGTTCTCAGGCGACGGAAAATTGCATGTGGAGGGAGACTTCGGATTACAAATCGTGCCAAGAAAGACATATTTGGGAGAGATGGATTTTTAGATGCTTGACTAGCGGTAATTTTAAATTGTTTGCTGTCGTTCGCGAAGTGAAGAACACAATTTCATTAAAATGATAATTATAAAATTATCATAATCACTATTGGTATTAATTAACACAAACTGGCGCGCAACTTATCAGTTGATTTCGTTAATAAATTCATAGAAACCTATATGGGATTTTTTCATGCCTTAGAAAATTAAAAAGTAAAAAATACAATAACAAAAATTTTAAAATGCGGTTTACGAAAAATTAGTTGACCTGTGCAAAGAAGAAAATTTTGGAAACGCTGACAAATATGACATCTTAAAAAAAATAACACTTGAAGAAGTGCTTTCGGGGTAATATTTTTGATGCTCGCGTGAACAAAATACTCTATGTCACTCTTAGATCATATAATAAATAGATACCACCATGCCGTGTTCTTTCCCTAGGACAGCCTGTGACGACATCCTCCTGTCACACATCTCTCTCGTGCATGGAAGGATTACAATGAAGCTATCCTTGCCTGATCACTATTTGAATTTTGCGCGCCTAAATTTTAGGAAGTATGTCTGAACTAACTTCGGAAGAAAGATGTTGACAGCTTGATTTTATAAATAATTCACAGTAGATAACGAAAGCAATAGTAAATTATTGGGCAGCAATTGTGATCCTTTATGACTACATCACTTAAAATAGGATCTTTGTTCTAAACTCTAAAATTGTTTTTTGTACAACAACTCGAAAGAGAGGTTAGAAGAAACATCTGTCAAAAACGATTTGTTGCGCTGGTGCGGTACAACGATGGAAGTGAAATAGACATATACAGATGAAATGCATATAACAAAGATGAAGATGTGGTGATCACACAAGGATAGCATTATACTACTTCCCTTGACGTAGAAAACGACAACAGATAGCTTCATGACTAGTCACACCTTTCAGTTTGAGTATTGGTATCTATTTATTATATGATCTAAGATGTCACCGTGCAGAGCTAGCCGAAAATCTGAAAACCAAATCGCTGTGTGTAGGGCCAGCATAACGGAAGTAATAAATCATCCCATCGGTTGAAGAACGTTGGGTCGGTGCACTGATGTCGATGTTATATCCCGAGAGGGGCCCAACACACCCATTAAAATCGAACAGACAAAATAAAGCTTCAAACATGATTATATTTTTACTAAAATTCTGAAGTTTATAAACTGCACATTTTATTTATTTATTTATTTATTTTATCTTGTTTTCGAACTATAATAAACATTTCAAACAATGTCCGTAACTTATTTTAATGTAAATTATATTCATGTGGTTAACAAAATCAGATGTAATATTAGTGTGATTTTGACCTTATTCTAGATTTTATTACAGCAGAACGGCGTATCCTTTTTAAATTTTAGAAGTTACGGAAACTAGTTCAAGAAACAATTAGTTATCTCGTATTTTTTTAACAAAATCTACCAAAATGTCGGATAACAGCAATTGTTTTTCATAGAAACAAACAGTCTTCAAAGCAGCCTTTAACAACTCGATATTACAAACATGCCTCTAAAGTTCTTAATGCGTTTTTTTCCCTCTTGTAATTATTTGTAATGTCAACGCCGAAAGTTTATGTCATTCTGTTATTTACTTTGAACACATATTTTCATTTTGTGTTAATATTTTTGTAAAACCACGAATCTACATTTTACTTAAAATCTTGTTTTACTTTAATCTTGTAAAACTAAACAATTATACCAGTTTAAAAACCCTTGGAAAGTTTCTGTCAGTCTTAAGATATAGTCAAATAAAAATAGGAGTCAAATGCATTTAAATTCAATTCTTTCGTATCACGTTACAACGCGTTGCTTCATATTTTTTATGTCAAGTATAATTTCATATTTTGTACATATATGTTTATACACATTACTGTTTACGGAACAATGTTAATTATGGATTTATGGATAACTCCTCGTATAAGAGCAGAGTGAAGGGTGTTTGCCTTTGCTAATGTTTGATGGCGCCATCTGATGTAGAGTAAAATAAACCTAATACGTTGGCTCACTGCAGTGAAAATGTGGGTTGACGAAAAATTTGTCCCACGCCCCCTGGATACCTTGTCCTAAAGCTCACTATTTAGGCGAAGTAAAATTTGTATTAGGTTGTCCAACTATAATATACTTAAACAATGCTACCACGTTCTACGTACCCCAAGTCTCGTTAGTTCCTGGAAGAACGAAGTGGCTATAGCGCCCCTTGTATGTAAATTCGTAATAATAAACTTTCTGCGAACTTTTTTCCGATATTAGATTCGCGAGCTTGTTGACAGGATATCCGATGATTGAGTCGGCGTAGATCTAAAATCGTGATGAGAATGCCGCCAGGGAAGTTGGAGACTTACTTGTGATAGTCCTGAAAGGGATGCGTTTGTTAGGGGTTGGTCGCACAGGTAGAATTTCCTGAGGGCCGCACTGATGTTCCTGGACTTTGCTGTCCCCCGTTCGTAAAGAAAAGCGATCGGGGCGTACGTTTCGAAGTCGTTATTAAGAAGACTTAGCAAAGTTGCGTTGTTTACTATATCTGGAATTTGTGTTAATTGTTGTGTTTGTGTTGGGGTGAGAACTTGCCGAAGGCTTCGTAGCCGAATTCTTGGAGGGTTATTCCTGTGACGATGGGGATGTTGGAAAAGTTGCCCTTTTGGAAAAGAGCGACGGGGTCGTCGGACAGGAAGCGCTCTTGACCGTAGTCGTCTTCGATTACTGGGTACCAAATAATAATGGGGTCATAATTGAACTCGGAAAATCTTGGCAAAGTATTCCCGAGTGTCTCAGCTGGTACTTTTTTCAAGCAAGCGACCATGTCGTTGACCGTACCATTATCAGGACACCCGACAAAGCGGGCCTGCTTTTTTGCCAAGTCCAGCTGATTACGGGGTAAGTCGAATTGACCAATCGCCGATCCACTCCCCAGGATAGCTTTATGGAACAACCCCTGGGACATGGGTGAAACTAAATGCAAACTGATACTCCAAGCCCCTGCACTGTACCCAAACAACGTAACAGAGTCACAATCCCCGCCGAAAGCCCCAATATTATCACGAACCCATTTTAATGCCACTACCTGATCTTTCAGACCGTTATTCCCCGGTACGTCCTCGCCGGTACTCATAAAACCTAAAGAACCCAAACGATAATTAATCGTAACTAGTACTATGTCTTGGTCAAGGAAGTACTGTGACCCTGCCCAGTCACTACGACCTGTACCACTGTAAAAACCACCAGCATGGATAAAAACGATGACTGGTCGCTTAGGATTGGTACCACCATCTGGCAGCTACAGATAAATATGGTATTAATGTTAATTGAGTGACATCGACCTACTTGTGTGGTGTAAACATTGAGGAGGAGACAGTCTTCGGAAATTGGGTCGTCGCTGGGTTGGGGGCAGACTGGACCGTCGGTGGTGGCGTTGTACACAGTTGACCATTTTTCGACAGGCACCGGGGGCTACTTTCTATAGTTATGTAAATCTGTGTGAAAATGTTCTTACCTTGAATCGTAGCTCCCCAACGGGTGCCTGGGCATATCGTATACCTCTGAAGGCATAAATGGTTTTGTTGAGACGTGTTGTTAATAGCGAGCCCACGATGTCTCCAAGGGGGGTGGTGACCTGAGGACTTTGTTGGTGGGTGGCTGCAAATAGCAGAAAAATCACGAAATGCTTCATGTTCGAGCGAACTTTTTCAAGTAACGTTGTTGTTTACGTTGCATGAATATTTATCTTATCACCTTGAGTACTTGGAAGTGCGATTATTGGGTATTTATGTACTCAGGCAATTCCATGTTATTAATTGGGACTGGTTTACATATTTTAACAAAATTATAGACGAGCCTAGAAGATTCATTTCTAACACAATTGCTCACTTTCACATGTACGTAATAATCAATAGTCCGCCCAGATATATATCTCTATTATAATTAGATGTCAGTGCAACATCGAATCGAGAAAATGAAACTCGCTTCAAAGCACTACACAACGGTGGTATATTTAAGCCAAAGCTAACAATATCTTTGATACCTTATTTATAGACTAAACCAACAATTTAATAATCAAAGGAGAAAACCGCAACATAAAATAGAGTTTGTGTATGTTCTGACATTCTCCTTTGCTACAACAATACTAAATCCTCGCCACAAACCAACTAAATTTCGAAAGCTAAAACGGAGTTTACACACAGCCCCGTAGCTAGAAAACTTATTCAGGGGGGGCAAGTTTGTCGACAGAGGGGGCTTCATGTAAATATTTATATTTTAATAATACACTCAGATAACTACTTTATTTTTTCTGAGTTTTTATATTTGAAAGAACATTAAAATAATTGGAAACGTCGATTTTTTACGCTAAATTTTCGTAAAAACCTGTAGAAGTCCAAAAAATTAGTACGGTACTTGGTTAAAATGCTGGTTAAAACAGAGAATGTAGATTCACAAACAGCTGTACTGCATCCAAAAATTTGTGTGGTGACCATATAGGTAACATCCAATTTGTTTGAGTTTATTTTTTTGCATGTTTAGTACATATTTTAAAAATCCGACTTCGAAACCAAATATTTCGAAAATTTTGGTACGGAACCATGAACTCGTCATGTTTTTTTAAACTCGTCGAGATGTGTATTTCAGAATTTTTTGTCAACTTTAACAAAAGCTCAATTTTTGGAAACCCATATAAAATTTTTGACTTTTCCCAAGCATTTTCGAAAATTACCAAAAGAATTCCTTTGTTCGTCTCGATTTCTTCCAAAAATCGTTTTGGATTCAATTTTTTTGAAAATTCTTACATTTTTTGCAGAATCGACGGAAGAAAAATGGCAATTTTTGAGAACCTGTATCAAATTTTTGACTTTTTTCAAGCACGTTCGAGATTACCAAAAGGGATTCCTTTATTGATTTCGATCTCCAGATGTTGTTTTTGGTTGTTTTTTCGAAAATGCGTACAATTTTTCCACAATCGCCAAAAGAAATATGGTAATTTTTGAGAAATTTTGAAAATTCGAGCTCGAAACCGAGTATTTCGAAAATTTTGATCCGGAACCATGAACCTGTCAAGTTTTTTTAAGCTCGTCCAAATCTATATTTCAGAATTTTTTGTCAACTTTTACGAAAGTTCAATTTTTGAAAACCCATATAAAATTTTTGGCTTTTCCCAAGCATTTTCGAAAATTACCAAAAGAGATTCCTTTGTTCATCTCGATTTCCAGAAATCGTTTTGGATTCAATTTTTTTGAAAATTCTAACTTTTTTTCCAGAATCGACGGGAGAAATATGGCAATTTTTGAGAACCTGTATCAAATTTTTGACTTTTTTTCAAGCACGTTCGAGATTACCAAAAGGGATTCCTTTATTGATTTCGATCTCCAGATGTTGTTTTTGGTTGTTTTTTCGAAAATGCGTACAATTTTTCCACAATCGCCAAAAGAAATATGGTAATTTTTGAGAAATTTTGAAAATTCGAGCTCGAAACCGAGAATTTCGAAAATTTTGATCCGGAACCATGAACCTGTCATGTTTTTTTAAGCTCGTCCAAATCTATATTTCAGAATTTTTTGTCAACTTTTACGAAAGTTCAATTTTTGAAAACCCATATAAAATTTTTGACTTTTCCCAAGCATTTTTAAAAATTATCAAAAGAGACTCCTTTGTTCATCTCGATTTCCAAAAATCGTTTTGGATTCAATTTTTTTGAAAATTCTTACAATTTTTCCAGAATCGACGGAAGAAATATGGCAATTTTTGAAAACCTGTATCAAATTTTTGACTTTTCAAGCACGTTCGAGATTACCAAAAGGGATTCCTTTATTGATTTCGATCTCCAGATGTTGTTTTTGGTTTTATTTGGTTGAAAAGTCGTAAAATTTTTCAGCAATCGCCAAACGAAATGTAATTTTTGAACTTTGAAACCGAATGTTTCGAAAATCTTGATCTGGGACCATCTAGACCTTGTGTTTTTTGATTGAGCTCGTCGAGATCAACATTTCAGATTTTTTTTTGGATTTTTAGTCAACTTCAACAAAAGCTAAATTTTTGAAAATCTATAAAATGTTTATGACTTTTCCCAACCGTTTTCGAAAATTAGCAAAAGGGATCTCTTTATCGATTTCGATCTCCAAATGTTGTTTTTGGTTTTATTTTCTCGAAAATTTGTACAATTTTTCCAAAGCCGCCAAAAGAAATGTAATTTTTGAGAAATTTTGAAATGTCGACTTTGAAACCGAATTTTTCGAAAATCTTGGTCTGGGACCATCAAGACCTTATGTTTTTGGATTAAGCTCATCGAGATCTACATCTCGGAATTTTTTGTTGATTTTTTGTTAATTTCAACAAAAGCTCAATTTTTGAAAATCCATATACATTTTTTGACTTTTCCCAAGCATCTTCGAAAATTAGCAAAAGGGATCTCTTTATTGATTTCGATCTACAGATGTTATTTTTGGTTTTATTTTTTTGATATTTCGTCGAATTTTTCCACAATCGCATAAAGAAATAACTTTTTTTTAAGTCACTTTTGAGATTTTTTTAGAAATTTTAGGTAGAACCCAATATTTCGCAAATTTTGCTCCGGGAGCATGAACATGTTTTTCGATTAAGCTCATCGAGATCTATATTTCAGAATTTTTTGTCAACTCTAACAAAAGCTCAATTTTTGAAAACTAAATAAATTTTGACTTTTCTTAGCATTTCCAAAAATTACCAAAATTCATTCTTTTATTTATTTCAATCTTGAGATGTTGTTTTTGGTTTTATTTGATCGAAAATTTGTAAAATTTTTCTAGAATCGTCACAAGAAATAGGAGTATAATTTTTGAGAAATTTTAAAAATTCGACTTGGAAACCGAATAGCAGCAAGACCTTTTGTTTTTTGACTAAACTCGTCGAGATCTACATCTCAGAATTTTTTGTAGATTTTCAGCCAATTTCAACAAAAGCTCAATTTTTGAAAATCTATAAAAAAAATTTGACTTTTCCCACGCATTTTCGAAAACTAGCAGAAGGGATCTTTTTATTGATTTCGATCTCCAAATGTTTTTTTTTTGGTTTTATTTTTTCGAAAATTCGTACAGTTTTTCCAGAGCCGCCAAAAGAAATGTAATTTTTGAGAAAGTTTGAAATGTCGACTTTGGAACCGAATTTTTGAAAAATCTTGGTCTGGGACCATCAAGACCTTATGTTTTTTGATTAAGCTCATCGAGATCTACATCTCAGAATTTTTTGTCGATTTTTTGTCCATTTCAATAAAAGCTCAATTTTTAGAAAATCCATATAATATTTTTGACTTTTCTCAAGTACATAGTAGGCTATGGAATAAAATGTGACATGTTCATTTTTTTATACGGTCAACATCAACGGTAGTGTGATATTGCCAAATAATATACCCTGTAAGAAAATAAAGGTGGGGCGGGTGGGGCCAGTTAATATGCTTCGGCAATCGGCATTATATTGAAATTTTATTACTAATTTGAAATTTATAATGTATAAGTCTTCCAGGGGGGGCAACCACAACTGCTAGGGGGGGCTCAGCCCCCTCTTGCCCCCCTGTAGCTACGGGGCTGTTTACACACCGTTCTGATGAATTTTTAACATGATTATTAAAACACAAAAAGTGAGACAGACGCTGAAAAACATCCCGTTTGATGTTTATATTAGTTTAATTAAATCTATTCAGTAAATCAATACCTGAAAATAATGTTTTGATTTCGTTTGAAAACAATGTTGCATAGTTACTATTTTGCATTTTCAACGAAAAATGGTGCCCGAGTACGACTAGATAATGTTAAAAGAGTAAATAAGTGGCGTAAATGTGTCTGGAGAAGCTCGAAAGGGGAGCTTATCCACTGACCGCTCACGCAGAACGCCTGCAGGTTGAGCTTTTAACAAGAAGAAGGGTGAAAAGGATGTGACCACCGGTTGTCTAACTAAAAGAGCCTGGGGGTGAGACGGGACGCTGAGTTTTACCTGTGGCTGGAAGGTGGTTAGTTGAAAGGGGGTTGCATCTAAGGTTACAACTAAAAATAGTAGAATGTTTAGCACCCATTTATTCGCATTTAATTACACCTAGAGCACTAAAAACCCTAAAATAAGTTACACCAGCATCCACCTCTAACTAAAACAAACCATTCAAAGCCCACGATCGATACGAAATGTGAAATATGAAGGGCACGCTGTTGAAAAAGCACATTGTCGCTAATAACGAATAAAAATCCAAATCTCGTAAATCCGAATTGCCATTTCCAGACTTAAATTTACGACGACGTTAACATGACGGAAGATTTATTTGATCGAAACTCATAAATACTATTTTTAGAGGAAGAAATCGGCGAGTAAGTAAAAAGTCCATTTGAATTTACGATTTCTTCTCGGTGTACTGAGACAAAGGGAAGAGTTTCGCCCATTCGGCGTAGCGCTTCTCGTACAACTTCTCGTTGAGGACTAGCTTGTTGCCGATGTCGAGGTATTTCTGGTCTTTGGTGGTGTACGGTTCCCACTTGATGTTGTCGAGCTTGTCACTAGTCTCAGGGACCGGGTTTCTGGAACGAAAAACCAGACAATCATCACTGAAACAAGTATGAATCGAGACTTACCCGGTTTTGGCGAAGTTAGCCCACAGTGTGGTAAGCTTGTTCACGGTTTGGACTTCAGGATCGGTGTCTTTGTTGAGAGGGAATAGCTTCTGGATGTAGAAAAGATAAATGAGGTCGTCGTTGTGCACAACACCTATTAGAAAAAAATCAAAGAAAAATTCTACTTGTGTAAGTAAGTACGTACCAAAAGGAATTGTGCTGTTGCTTTCGGGTAAATAAAAGTGACTAAATTTCCCTTTGTAGTTGAACCTGTAGTAGTAAACCGATTCGTTACTTTTCTCCGACAACAACTCGGCTGCTCTGTTGACCCCAAATCCGGTGAGCGCGTCGGCGTACAGTTGCGTCAAGCCCGGCAACGACGAGTTATCTAACGCCTTATCATTCAAATAAAACTTCTTCAGTCCTTCACTGACAGTCTTCGAATGGTCCCCATCTCGTTCGTACAGAAACGCAATAGGAGCAACTTTGTCAAAGCCTTCACTTAACTGCTTCTTCAAAGTCTCGTTGGCTAAAACATCTAGAAAATTCCAAGTCAGTTAAAGTCGTTTTGATAGAGTATAATAAGACATACGGAAGGCTCTGGCTGCAAACTCGTCCGTCGTGGTCCCCACCACTATTGGAACCTTCTCAAACTCGCCTTTCTCCACCAGTTCGATAGGGTGCCCCGTCAAAAACCTCTCCTGTCCGAAATCCCCCTCCACCACGGGTTTCCAAATGTAAATCGGATCATCCCCGAACTCCACAAACTTCGGCTGCGAATCCCCTAACTCGTCGGCCGTCTTCCCCTTCAAGCACTTGACGATGTTGGCCGAAGTATCGTCGGGACAGTCCAAAATCTTGGCTTGCTTTTTGGCTAGGTCCAACTGGTTTTCAGGGATGGGCATCTGCCCGAAGGCGGAGCCACTCATGATGATGGCTTTGTGGAACAACCCCTTGCTTAAGGGTGATACTAAGTGGAGAGTGACGCTGAGGGCGCCGGACCCGAAGCCCACCAGGGTAACTGAGTCTGGGTCGCCGCCAAAGGCGGCGATATTATCCTTTACCCATTTCAAAACCACTACTTGATCCTTAAGGCCGTTATTACCAGGAGCTTCTTTGTCGCCGGTACTCAAGAAACCTAAAGTACCCAGACGGTAGTTGAATGTGACGAGGACGATGTCTTGGTCTAGAAGGTACTGAGGACCCTCCCAGTTGCTGGAGCCGCCTGTGCTATAAAAAGCGCCACCGTGGATCACCACTAAAGTAGGCCGCTTAGGCTGGTCGGTCCCCTTCGGAAGCTAAAACCCGAATAGAGTGTTTAACGCAGACGCTGGTCCCCACACCCACGTGACTTACTTTCGTCGTGTACACGTTAAGGAAAAGACAGTCTTCTGCAGTCGGCTCATCAGTGGGCTGTGGACACAGCGCTCCATCTTGCGTCGCGTTGTAGAGGTTGTCCCACTTGTCGACAGGAACAGGTGGCTAAACCCACCACATCCATTACGAACGAAATTCGCCAAATCATTGTTTAAGTATATTATAGTTGGACAACCTATACGGACAATCACTTTCCCATGTAGAAAAGAATGAATATATATTTTACATCTCACTCGCTTCACTATGAAGTGGCGGTACCTTACGAAAGGGGGTAAAAATAGTCCGTAAGCACGTGATGTCGATAAGGTAGTAAACGGACGTATTAATCACTACGTTGTACGGGGAGCAGTCACAAAATAAGCAAACGTACGTGTTGAAGACTTTACATATATGTAATATATGTATATGTAGTGCATACCTGTTTCAAGGTTAAGGTAACAAAAATTTAATATTATCGCAGTATACCTTCTTACGTATTTTTTTCATTAGCAGTAGTCAAATCATTAAATACAGATTATCTTTGAAACTAAAATGCATTTTATCCTAAGATTGTATCACAAAATATTCATCACCATATAAATATATACAATTTAGACATCAAGAAATAAATTTAAAATTGCAAAAATTATATCTAGCAGACTTAAAACAGCCTTAAATGTGTCTTGTATGTACGTGCTTATCAGTATGTAGGCATTTTAACGCACAGCAATAATCGTTCTTTATGAGTAATGACTGATGACTACTGTGACACAGTAAATCCTCGAAATCGAAAATTTAAAACACTAAAAAATTCAAATATGGAAAAATTGTAAAATCGAGAAATCGAAACATAAAAGAATCAAAAAAATAAAAATTGGAAAATCTAAAATTTAAAAATCGAGAAATTGAACAATCAGTTAATTCAAAAATCGAAACATCGAAAAATTGGAAAATCGAAAAATAAAAAAAAAATTGGACAATCGAAAATTTAAAAATTCCGAAAATTGAAAAATTGAAATATAGAAGAACTGAAAACTCAAAACATCGAAAAAAATTAATAATTTAAAAATTGAAAAGTTAAAATTGAGAAATCGAAAAACTGAAAAATCACAAAATTGAACGAAATATCAAAAAATTGGGAAATTAACAAATTGAGAAACAGAAAAGTCAAATAAGCAGAGTCTAAAAATCGCAAACTTAAAAAATCGAAAAAGTGAAAAACAAAAACCTAAATAATAGAAAAATTGAAGAACTGAAGAACTGAAAAATCAACGAATCGAGAAGTCGAATTGGACAATTGAAAAATCGGATAAACCAAAAATCGAAACATCGAAAAATCGAGAAACCGAAAAGCAAAAAATCGAAAAACCAACAAATCGAAAAATCGAAACATTGTAAAATTCAAAAATTGAGACATCGAGAAATCGAAAAATCAAAAGACAAAAAAATCGAGGAGTCGAAAAATCGAGAAGTCGAAAAATCAAAAAATTGAGAAACCGAAATAGGCCAAAATCGAAAAATCGAAAACTTAAATATGGAAAAATTGATAAAGCGAGAGATTGAATAATCAAAACATCGAAACATCCGAATGTCAATAATTTGAGATCTCAAAAAATTTAAAAATTCGGAAATTTAAAAAATTAAAATATAGAACTGGAAACTCGAGAAACCGAAAAATCTAGAAATTTAAAAATTAAAATACGGAAAAGTTGAAAAATTGAGAAATTGAAATAAAAAACAAAAAACTGAAAATCCAAAAATAAAAAATAGAAAAATCTTGAAGTCGAAAAATGAAAGAATCGAAGTATTGAAAAATATCAAAACTGAAAGAAATATCAAAAAATTGAGAAATCGACAAACCAATAAAGCGAAGGCGAAAAATCGAAGAATTGAAGAACTGAAAAATCGAAACTTTGAGAAGTGGGAAAATCAAAAATAGATTAATTGAGAAATCAGAAAACTGAAAATTTAACGCAAAAATTTGAAAAATTGAAAAATCGGGACATTGAAAAATTGGAAAATCCAGAAATTGAAAAGCTCAAAAGAAAAAAATCGAAAAACCGAAAAACCCAAAAATCGAAACATCGAAAAATTCAAAAACTGAGACTTCAAGAAATCGAAAAATCGGAGGATCGAGAAATTGAGGAGTCGGAAGCCGAAAAGGAAAGTTAAAAATTGAAAAATTGAGAAATTGGACAATCAAAACAACGAAATATCTGAATTCAATAAATTGAGAAAATAAAAAATTGAATAATCGAAAAATTTTAGAAAAGAAAAACTGGAAAATCGAAAATTAAAATTAAAAAAATCCAAAAATTGAAAAATTGAAATATAGAAGAACTGAAAACTCGAGATATCGAAAAACCTAGAATTTAAAAAAATGAAATATTAAAACATCGAAAAGTTTAAAAATTGAGAAATCGAAGCATTAAACAGTCGCAGAATTGAAAAATCTAAAGTTTACAATAAATTGAAAATCCAAAAAGTAAAAAATCGAGAAATCAAAAAAATCCGTCAATTCAAAAATCGAAAAGTCGAAAAATTGAAATATTGAAAAATCTCATAACTGAAAGAAATATTCAAAAAATTGAGAAATTAAAAAATTGGAAAACTGAGAAATCGAAAATCTAAAAAAGCAAAATTGAAAAATCGTAATCTTAAAAAATCGAAAAATTGAAGAATTGAAGATGTGAAAAATCTAAACTTTAGGAAGTCCAGAAATGGACAAATAAAAAAAAATACTTTAGAAATCGGCAAACTGAAAATTTAGAAACGTGAAAATTTGAAAAATTGAAAAATCGAAATATTTAAAAACCGTAAAATTGAAGAGGACAAAAATTGAGAAATCGTATCATTGAAACATCGAAAGATTGAGAAATCGAAAAATAAAAAAATCAAGAAATAGAAAGTTTAAAGAATGGAGGAATAGGAAAAGCCCAAAATTGAAATATTGAAAAATTGAGACATTTAAAGTTGAAAAATCGAGAAATCGACAAGACGAAAAATCCCAATAGCGTATTTAGGTATAAATCACAAGATCAGGACTATTCTACTTTTTAAAATTTAAATAACATTATAAATTGGAAAATGTTGATTTTTTTTTCCAAAAATTTTGACGTCTAAGCTGAAAACTCGACACGGATGCATAAACCGTAAACGGGGCGAAACTACAATTTTACTATTGTAAAATTTGACAAATTTTGGAGAGTGTAATTTGATAATACAATTTGAAATGTAAATTTTGTCATTCGGGAACATTATGTATTAAATTGTTAAGATGTTCAAGAACTTTGTTCACTTATTCGTTTTAAAGTCCAATGGTCGAAATGGGTTAGTTCTTCGTAGTGGATGTGTATCACATCAACTCTAACGAATATCGGTTTATAGATAAATCGCTTAAAGCCGATATTGGCCTGAGTGTGCTTTGGTCTGTAGATCAAACAAGTTCTCAGGCGACGAAAAATTGCATGTGGAGGGAGACTTCGGATTACAAATCGTGCCAAGAAAGACATATTTGGGAGAGATGGATTTTCAGGTGCTTGACTAGCGGTAATTTTAAATTGTTTGCTGTCGTTCGCGAAGTGAAGAACACAATTTCATTAAAATGATAATTTTAAAATTATCATAATCACTATTGGTATTAATTAACACAAACTGGCGCGCAAGTTATCAGTTGATTTCGTTAATAAATTCATAGAAACCTATATGGGATTTTTTCATGCCTTAGAAAATTAAAAAGTAAAAAATACAATAACAAAAATTTTAAAATGCGGTTTACGAAAAATTAGTTGACCTGTGCAAAGAAGAAAATTTTGGAAACGCTGACAAATATGACATCTTAAAAAAAATAACACTTGAAGAAGTGCTTTCGGGGTAATATTTTTGATGCTCGCGTGAACAAAATACTCTATGTCACTGTGCAGAGCTAGCCGAAAATCTGAAAACCAAATCGCTGTGTGTAGCGCCAGCATAACGGAAGTAATAATTCATCCCATCGGTTGAAGAACGTTGGGTCGGTGCACTCATGTCGATGTTATATCCCGAGAGGGGCCCAACACACCCAATAAAATCGAACAGACAAAATAAAGCTTCAAACATGATTATATTTTTACTAAAATTCTGAAGTTTATAGACTGCACATTTTATTTATTTATTTATTTATTTTATCTTGTTTTCGAACTATAATAAACATTTCAAACAAAGTCCGTAACTTATTTTAATGTAAATTATATTCATGTGGTTAACAAAATCAGATGTAATATTAGTGTGATTTTGACCTTATTCTAGATTTTATTACAGCAGAACGGCGTATCCTTTTTAAATTTTAGAAGTTACGGAAACTAGTTCAAGAAACAATTAGTTATCTCGTATTTTTGGAACAAAATCTACCAAAATCTTCGATAACAGCAATTGTTTTTCATAGAAACAAACAGTCTTCAAAGCAGCCTTTAACAACTCGATATTACAAACATGCCTGTAAAGTTCTGAATGCGTTTTTTTCTCTCTTGTAATTATTTGTAATGTCAACGCCAAAAGTTTATGTCATTCTGTTATTTACTTTGAACATATATTTTCATTTTGTGTTAATATTTTTGTAAAACCACGAATCTATATTTTACTTAAAATCTTGTTTTACTTTAATCTTGAATCTTGTAAAACTAAACAATTATACCAGTTTAAAAACCCTTGGAAAGTTTCTGTCAGTCTTAAGATATAGTCAAATAAAAATAGGAGTCAAATGCATTTAAATTCAATTCTTTCGTATCACGTTACAACGCGTTGCTTCATATTTTTTATGTCAAGCATATTTTCAGATTTTGTACGTATATGTTTATACACATTACTGTTTACGGAACAATGTTAATTATGGATTTATGGATAACTCCTCGTATAAGAGCAGAGTGAAGGGTGTTTGCCTTTGCTAATGTTTGATGGCGCCATCTGATGTAGAGTAAAATAAACCTAATACGTTGGCTCACTGCAGTGAAAATGTGCGTTGACGAAAAATTTGTCCCACGCCCCCTGGATTCCTTGTCCTAAAGCTCACTATTTAGGCGAAGTAAAATTTGTATTAGGTTGTCCAACTATAATATACTTAAACAATGGCCAAATTGTTTTAATTTAGTTTAAATACCTGAAACCTCAGCTCCTCCACCGGCGCCTTCGCATACCGCACCCCCCTGAAGGAAAAAATCTGCTTTCCCATCCGCGACGCCAGCACGGACCCCTGCACCTGCCCCAGCGGCGTCTTCACCACGGGCTTGTCGACACTCTTCGTGGCTCTGGAATCGGGACTCGGGAGGCTGCACACGGCGCCGACGAGGACGACGACCACCAGTTTTCCGTACATGCTGCACTCTGGCGGCGCGACCTGAAACTGGGGAGGACGCGCCGTCGCCGGCTTTTATAGACTGGCCCGAATGGGGCTTAATTGAATAATTCGCGCCGAAACGGCGATAAAGGCCGGGAAGGCGGCGGCCGGCGCAGCAGCGGGGCGGCGTGGTCAAGGACGCGGCTTCCGGGGGCGGCCATAAATCCGCGCTGACCCACAAAGCCGCTTATTTGAAAAATTTAATTGCCGCACTCGGAAAATTCCCAATTGAGCGCAATTCGCCAAATTGGAAAATTGGCCGGTATTCAAGGCGTGACAATTTAAATAAATTATATTGGTAAAACTTTCCTACGGCCGGGGCTTCTCGAACGTTCTGGCGGCGGGTGGGTGGGTGGGTAGTCGCGTCGCACCCGTTTTTCCAACACTTGTTGATTAAAAATTTGTAAGTTTTGACGGGACAGTGGCAGCTGCCAGTCAAAATTTTTCAAATGGATTTGGACGCCGACGTGGTTGTAGTAGGGGCCGGGGTGGCTGGACTCACCACCGCCTACTCCCTGCTCCAGAAGAACCCCTCCCTCATTGTGACCGTCCTCGAAGCCACAGGTAAAACCCCAGGGTTCCTCCTCACCCCCATTCTTTCAGTTAGACAAAATCGGCGGTCGCGTCCTCTCCACACCCCTCCTAGTGCAAAACAAGACCTTCAGGTCGTTCGACTTGGGGGGTCAATGGATAAGTTCGCAGCAGACGCCGCTTTTGGACCTTCTCCAGGAGCTGGAGATTCAAACCGAGCAAAGAAGCGACGTCGGAAAAATCGTCGTTAACGCCGAAGGGCGGCTGTATAGACGAAATCGACGCAACCCGTGGGGGTTTTGTAGTTCAGCAGCCAAACTAGAAATGGCTGCATTTGCGGCGAAAATCGAGAAGTTGTGTTTGAGGAAGTCGCTAGAGAAAGAAGTGGCGTCCAGGAAGATGCAGGATTTTATAGAGGAGCACTTGAGCCACGATATTAATAAAATTATAGTGAGGTCTTTGATTCTAATGCACTGTGGAGTAGACGCTCGAAATCTGACGGTAGTGGAAAATTTGAAATGTCTGCTAACCCTATTGTTGTCGCACTAGGTGGGTTTTTACATTTTCTTTTGTACTTCTACCCATGGAATCGCCAACCAGCTGGACCTCGATGGTTTACACGAGCTGAGGATACGAAATGGGGCTCAAGACATCTGCAACAAAATCGCGACTTTGCTCAGGGACACCATCACCCTACACGTTAACACCAAAGTTCTCCAGATTAAAACCAACAAGTACAACGTGGAGATTGACTCCAGTCGCGGTACTTTTCGGTACGTTTTACCCAAATAAGCGACTTTTCTCACGTTTTCGTAGTAGTAGGAACGTAGTAGTGGCCGTTGCACCCCCAGCCATCTCCACCATCAATTTTCTCCCGCATCTACCAGCCCCCAAAATTCGAGCTCTACGCAGTGTGGTCTGTGGAACTTTATGGAAGTTCGTAGTTTCTTACCAGTACCCGTTTTGGTGGAAAGAGGGTTTTTCGGGCGACATCTACATCCTAGATGGAGAAGGACCCCCAAAGTGCCCCATTATTTGCTGTTTTAACAACATAGTCCAAAACAATGCGGCTTTAAGCGGCTATTTCACCCCAAATAGAATCCAAGAGCAGATGGGTTTTCTACAAGAACTAGCTCAGTATCTGGGGGCCCCCACCCTCCAGCCGCTGCAACTCGCAGCACGCAAATGGACCGCAAGCCCCATGTGTTGTTTCAATAGCCACGAAGACGTCGAACACATCAGCAGTTCCATGAAACGGTAACTAAACTCGGCGCCAAATTCAAATAATCGGGCACCAATTTTCTAAAAGGGTGTTTTGGGCCGGCGCTGAAACCTCCATGGAGTGGTACGGAACCATCTGCGGGGCCGTCATTTCTGGGTACCGCGCAGCAACCGAAGTTTTGTATGACATGCACCCGGCGTTACTGACAGTCAGCGACATGGGCACCCTCACCCCCAACTCCACACTGATCAGGAAACGCATGAGATTCTACGACAACATCTACAGAAAGATGCTCAATCCCCACTACCAAGTTTCCACGTTGTTCGGAGTCGTTCTACTACTCCTCGTGTGGCGCAAATTTAACATAAACACTCGTTTAAGAAACATTTTATTAAAATAACGTTACAGTTTGTCGAATCTTTTAAAAGTGATGATGAGCTCGCAGTGTCGGGTGTGCGGAAACATGTCCACGGCCACCGCCTTGATGGGCACTAGAGGCTCGTTGTGCAGCGTCTTGGACGCGGGGCGCCCTATGTCTATAAAATTTTTCAAAGCCGCCGCTGGATTGCACGAAACGTAGACCAGTTGGGAGATTTTGGGGACTTTGCGGATCTGCAGTACGGCTTTCTGGTCTGTAAATATTAACCAATCAGAAACCAGCATAATTAATTTAGACCAATCACGCTAGACTTACGAAGCCCCGCCCGCGGCGGATCCACAACCGCCACCACGTCACTCAGAGCCCTGTAACACACAGACCCTAAAATCTCCTCAGCTTTGCCTTCAAAGAACTCGCTGTTGTCGATTTCGTTCAATTTGGCGTTCTCTTTGGCGTCCAGAACAGCCTGAGGGACGACTTCAATGCCTAAAACTTTTTGACACTTCTACAACAAAACAGTTGGCGACACTGCTTAACACCAACCCACCTTGGCAAAACATAACCCAATAGTTCCCGTTCCACAGCACACGTCCAAAATCGTCGAACTGTCACTCGGCGCAGCCAACTCGATTATCGACTTATATAAAATCTCGGCCCCTTTTGTGTTAATTTGGAAAAAAGCCTGAGGCGACACTTTGAATTTGAGTCCCAGTAGCGACTCACAAATGTGTGTGTCGCCCCACAGGTGCTCAGCGCCCTCTGGAGTCTCTCCGGCGACTCTACAACCAAATTTATCAACCATTTTGCAAAAATTAAAACAATGGGGACACACTTTTTCGTGATTGATTGATAATACAAGGACGTGATTTTCGCGTCTTTGCCGGCCCCCTGTGTGAAAAAACTGACTAAAGAAGCTTTGAAAGCAGCGAGTTTGTCGGGGGAGAGGTCCTGGGGGTGGATTCCCACAACTAGCATGATTTGGTCGGGGGCTGTTCGCACCATGAGTTGGCGAAAATAGCCGCTGTGGTCCTCAGCATTGAAAACTTGAAAGTCTGATGATCTGACGTAATCTTGGAAAAGTCGCACCGCGAGTTTAGTTGGCTCTGGAATGTGTCTGAGTGTTTCAATGGTGCCAACCCCCGTCACGCCGTTCGCGTAACTCCCTATTCTAAAACCGACGGTTGGCAGCTGGGTTTGGTCGTCGATTCCAACGGTGAATGCACATTTGTTGCGGTATCTAGACGATTTTTACAATTAAATTATTTTTGAGAAGTGTGGGGGTTACCCGTCGTAGTCTTCGGCGTGTCGTATGTCGAGTAGTTCACAAGGAAGCCCGTCGTGTTTGGCTTTTTGGTCATTTAACCACTGTCGTAACTCCGGGTTTAGGCGAGCCAGTTCGGTTCCTAACCTCTTTAGGATATTTCTAGCTTCCTCTTGTTTTGTTTTTAACTATAATTTTTACTATGTAGTAAGTTATTAAAGAAAAATGGGTGATTACTTGGTCCTCGTAAGGTACATCCCCCAGTGGAATAGTCGACGATTTTAACATCTCCTCTTGACTCCTAGTGTCCAGTTTAACCTTCTTATTAGGGCCTTCTTCCGAATTTTCTTTTCGTTTTTTAACCAAAGGGTCCGGCGACGGTTTAGCCCTCTAAAAACCAACAATAGCAAGTCGCTTATTAACGGAATAACTTACAATCGCCTGCAGTTGTTTCCCTTTCCATTTGAACCCCGTCAGAGTCTCAATCGCCTTTTCCCTGTCTTCATCACTACGAAAACACACGAAAGCATAATGACTATTCCTTTTCGGCGCTTTTATTTTCGTCGAATTCAACTTCAGTTTAGTGTTGAGCAGTTTCCGAAATTCGTTGATCCCATAGATCTTGGGGAGATTTTTTATTTCGATTTTGAATTTTTCCGAGGAGAAATCCTGCCGCTCCAGGTAGGCGTACGGGTCATTTTCTTCCTTTATTTGTTCAGAGGGTGCTTCAGCCGGCAATTCTTCGGTTTTGGGGCCCCCTTCTTCGACTTCTTCCATGGTAAACTTAACCTCAACTAATTCGACCAACGTGATGCAAACTTGGGGAAATTTAACTAAAAACAGTGTGACAACGTATTTTATCTACTATCTCTTTTTGTCACAAAAGAATTGTCTAGTTGTGTCTCTTTTCACTCCAAGCTACGAGTTAGGGGAATTTAGCTACGTTTTCCAACCATCAAAACATCTGCTTTGATCTCTCTCTAACACCTACAATTTTTATCGTTGCGTCTCTTTCTACCGCTTGGCAGCATTAGCTGTCACTATTTTAAAATTTACACCACCACAACAAGGGGTTGTGTTGACGTTGTCGTTTTTAAACTAAACCACTTCCCGTGACTAAAACCCCCGTTATTTCGCCATGGACAACGAAACCACCCTCTCCTGCACCGTCAACATCGAGTGGCTCAACCCCCAAGGCGTCGTCCACCGCAAGCTCTCCGAAAAAACCGCCTTCCTCCGTCTGATTCGCAACGAAGCCCGCCAGATCTTCGTCGAAGTGACCGCCCCCAAAGCCGCCCCCGTCAAGCTCCAACTCAAAGGAATCTGCGTCCACAAAAAATTCATGAACGAAGGTAAAGCCTCCATCAAGTTCCAGGAGATCCGGTGCACCATGTTCCTGTCCAACGCGCCCCCCAACCACCTGCTCATGTTCCTGCGCACCATGTTCGTGAAAATGACGGGCGAGAAGTCCGTGGGGGGCGCCAACACGTCGCTGCGGACCCAATTATTGTCGAACAAACCCAAACAGTTCGAGGAAATCAGTCCCGTGACTTCCGTGGAAGTGGACAGGGCGCGGGCGAAGGCGTCGAGGGGCACGGACACGACGCCGTCGCCGCTGAGCAAGAAGCGGAAGTTGAGCCCGAGGGACGGGGAGAAGGCTCCGGCTTCGAAGAAGTTGTACTCTGCGTCGCCGATTCCAGACGAGCCGCTGGATATTGAGCAGAAGGAGGTGATGGAGGCGTGCTTGACCGGGAGGAACGTGTTTTTCACGGGGAGTGCGGGCACAGGAAAGAGTTATTTGTTGAGGAGGGTGATCGGGGCTTTGCCCCCGGATGTGACCATGGCTACGGCTTCTACAGGTGGGTGCACTGGATTTTTGACAACTGTCAAACCTGACAGACTGATTTTGGTTTTTGGTAGGTGTCGCTGCGTGTCACATTGGGGGAATCACTCTGCACCAGTTCGCTGGGATCGGGGGCGGCGAAGCCACCCTGGAACGCAGTATCGAGTTGGCGTCGCGTCCGGGGGCTGTCACGATTTGGCGTAGATGCAAACACTTAATTATTGACGAGATCTCGATGGTCGATGGTTCCTTTTTCGAAAAAATCGAAACCGTGGCGAGGAGAATTCGCCGAAACGAGCAACCCTTTGGAGGGATTCAACTCATACTATGTGGAGATTTTTTCCAGCTACCCCCTGTCGCAAAAGATAAAACTTCTATGAAGTTTTGTTTCCAAACGGAAGCCTGGAGTAGGTGTAGATTATCCACGTACGAACTCAAGCGCGTCCACAGACAGAACGACGACGAATTTATAAAAATTTTAAACCACGTAAGAATCGGACGAGTTCCTGAAGAGATGGCGCGACGACTGGCCGAAACGTCTAGACAAAAAATCGAAAAAAACGGGATTCTAGCGACAAGATTGTGTTCGCACACGGGCGACGCTAATGTTATTAACGAGTCGAAACTCGAGGCGCTCAGTGGAGAAAAGTTCGTTTTTACAGCTGAGGACTCAGATCCACATTTGGGTAAACAGATCGACCAGAGGACGACGGTTCCACAAAAACTGGAACTGAAAGTGGGGGCTCAAGTTATGCTCCTCAAAAACATCAGTCTTGCTACGGGGTTAGTAAACGGAGCGCGCGGCGTCGTCAAATCCTTCCACGACGGTCTGCCAGTCGTTCAATTCCGGAATAAAGAATATATCACCAAACACGAACGCTGGCATGTCAAAACAGCCAACGGTGTCACTCTCACCCGAAAACAAGTCCCTCTGAAACTAGCTTGGGCCTTTTCTATACATAAATCGCAAGGGTTGACTTTGGATTGCGTGGAAATGTCGCTGGGTAAAGTGTTTGAAGCGGGACAGGCATACGTCGCTTTGAGCAGAGCTCAGAGTTTGGATACTTTGAGGGTTTTGGATTTTAAAGCCACACAAGTGTGGGCTAACGAAAGCGTCCTGGACTTTTACAGGACTCTGAACCTGCAAATGGAGAGTATGAGGCTGATTCCTTTGGGACGCAAAGAGAATAAAGCAAAGAAAATCGTAAGACGATTGGGAATTAATTCAAAAGCAATGAACAAACCCCTAGTCATGATTAACTAAGAGTTTACCCCATGAGTATTATTTTCACTCTTTTTTTATTTAGGTTGTAGTAGCAGATTTTTTAATGATACGTCATAGCGAACCTACCAGAGACGGTTGTCGGTGTACGCGAATAAATGGCCGCTTTTTGGTCGGTCGCGAAAAAACGTCCGCAATTTATTTTTTAACTTTTTATTATACAAATAAATGATAAAAGATATAAAAGTAGGACGACTTATTATTATTTATGATTTAATATTGTCGATTGTCGTAAATCAAGGTAACATAAGTAAAAAGTGAGGTTACGTATACTTTTCTTTTCAGTTGAGTTAAGTCAAAAGTTATAATAAATTTAGGGTCAATTTGTAAACACGTTGTATAAAAAACGTTTCAAAAACATCAATAAATCTTGCGCAAAACTTTAAAATACAACGTAACATAACCTCAAACATTTCCACTGACGTTACAAGTGCAGCTGTTACGCCCCCCTTTGCTTGAAACTCGCACCTAGGACTCCTTCACGTACTCACGCAAGTGAAACAGGCCCGTTTTAGCCGAAAAGACCCCAAACTTGGTAAAAATTGCAAAATTACACCTTTAGTGAAACCTAACCTAGAAATTTAATTTCGTTTTGAAAATCCCGTTATGATACTTTTATATGCAACTAGGGTTAAGTTTCACCGTATTGACTGCCCGTAGTGCGACAAAGTGTAATCCGCCCCTTTCCCGTAGGCTAAAAATGTAGGAGCCCCCCAGCCACCCAAATGCGTTCTTCTGTAAGCTACATCTTATCCAGCAGTACCAGCGAGCCGAACATGTCTCACCCAGACTACGAACAGTACTCGCACGACCACGCCGCTCTCCTGGTGCTCATCCGCCACATCGGCTCCCAACTCAAGCCCAAAACCTTCGTCAAGTTCTACGACCGAATCTCCAAACTGACGTCGGTCCGAATAACCGACTCGACTGGCAACGTGCGCACCATTTTAGTCCGATACGTGAAGGAGCACCCCGTGGAGAACAACGACTGGGGGGACTTCCAAACCCACCGGCGCCTCTTGGGGCTCATCTCGCTGGGAAAGTACGACTCCCAACAAGAACTGAACGAGATTTGCCGCGTCCACGAGAGTCTCAAAGTCAAGTACACGAGCACGTTGTTCGACTCGCGGTGCATACTTTTCGGGCCCACGAAAGAAGGGGGTAGTTCTTCGGACACGTCCACCTCGAGCCCGAACAGCGACAGTAGTGGCAGCCCCGCGGAACAAACAATCGAGAAGTTCACGACCCCCAGCAACTTCAAGACCCGGGGGCTGTTTTACGACGAAGCGGCACCGTGTTCCGACCTTGAAACCCAAATCGTGGAGTTTATTAATTCGCTGTTCTGGGTGCTGGAGTCGAAGAGGCTGGAGCGGTCACGGGAGAAGCTCGAACGGGTGTCTTTGTTGTTGGCGCCTTTCGAGAAGAAGGATTTCGTGGGGCTGGATATGGAGTCGCGGAATAATAAGAAGAAGTGTACGGGGAGGATGACCAAGCATTTGGGGGATTTGTGTTTGCAGGCGGGGTTGCTGGCGGAGAGTTTGACGTACTACGGGAACGCGGCGGATACGTTGAAGACGGTGAACGATTGGCTGTGGTTGGGGGCGGCGTACGAAGGTCTGTGTGCGGCGTCGGCGCTTGTGTTGTACCCGGAGATGCAGAGGAGTGTCCCTTTGCAACGAAACGCGAGTCTGCAGGAAGGCTCGTCCCCGAAGAAGACGGTGGTGGTGAGTAGCATCGACGTGGGGGCCCGGAAGGCCTCAATCCCGAATACGCTGGCACCGGAAGATATTTCGAAACGGTATAGAGAAGCCATTATTCACTATAGCAAGTATCAGAACGCCGGTGAGTGTCCTTGAAACGTCATTCCAAAGGTTATATTAACAATTTTTTTTATATAGGGATAGTGGAAACTGAGGCTAGTTTTAAAGCAGCGCGGATCGCAGTCGAGCAAAACCACTCCCTACAAGCCGCCAGTTTTCTCCAGAATGTCGTCTATATCAACCTGACGCTTTCGGAACAGGAGAAAATCCAACGATTCGAGACCCTAGCGGAACTCTATACGCAGATCGGGTTTACTCGGAAGGCCGCCTTCTGTCAACGATTGGCCGCGACTAGATACGTTTCTCCGCAAAACCCCGCCCCCAACTGGAACCGGTGCTACAACCTCATGTTGCAGAGTCTGCCGGGACACCGACTCTCGCTCGACCCTGCGGAAATGCGCGAAGTCGAGCAAGGGTGGCCGGTGCTCCAGATTCAGTTGTTGCAAGAACTGGTGGTCGCTGCCAAAAGAATGGGTCACTCGGCTTTGGCTACCCGTCATATGACGTTTCTTTTGCAGACGATGTGGTCGCATTTAACCCCCACCGAACAGAAGGAGTTGTGCATACAACTGCAGGCGCTGTCGTCGCAGTGCGAGGGGTCCCCGGTGCCCCTGGTGCTCGACAACGGGATTGTCATCCCGCCGGCCAATTTGACGAACATTCCGCTGTGTCATTCCTACGTTTTGAGGAATCTTCAGCCGCATTTGCAGCCGAGGAAAATCCAGGCGGTGAAGCAGGATACGGGACCGTTCCTGTTCACGCCGATTCACTTCGGGAGTCTGGATAGGAGGAGCACCGGGAGCCAATCCAAAATGGGTAAGTGTTGATGGTGTTCTTTAATACAACTTCGAATTTCAAAATCGAGCCCTGACAAATTGACAAATTGGCATTTGACATTTTAGTGATAAATTCAATACCAACATAATTTAGGGTTAAGTTTCGTGTTGCCGAAATAAGTCTCCACATATTAAGAAAAAACAAGGCAAAATGGAGCCCCGCCCACCCACCCTGTCTTAATTGTGATGATTTTTTTATTCGTCGTGAGCCGAACGGGCGGAGGTTAACTGCAAAATCCTTATTTCTCTACGAGAAATTAAAAACATTTTGAGTATCGTGTTGTTCAAAGAATACTATGTATTTTAAGAAAAACTTTTAAAACAGTGGTCTAAAAATTGCGAAAAAATTCGGGGACGTAGATCTCGACACGCTGATTCCATAAATATAGCGTGTTGATGGTCACGGAGCAACATTTTCGAAAGAATCGGTACGAAATGCGAATTTTTGAGAATTTCTAAAAATTTCGAAATTTGAACGGTCGATTCTGGAAAAACGGTTGCAGTTATCAAAGAATCGATACCGGAAGTGACTTCTAAAGCTCGAAATCTACAAGAAAATGCAATTAGTTAAGTTTCGAAAATGTCAAAATTTGGCCGAAATGTGAAGAAGTTTGCAATATCCTAATTTCTCTACAAGAAATTGCCATGTTTCATATAATTTGTTGTAGAGAAATGAGGATTTGACAATTAAAGTCCGCCCTTTGGTCTGATTAGGAATAAAAAACTCAGTACGATCGAGATCCGGGTGGGCGGGTGGGGCTTAACTTTTGTTTTTTTTTTAATACATATATAGAGTTTTCTTTCAACAACAGTAAAGTTAAACATGTTGTCAGTTTCTTGTTGGGAAAAGAAGACTTCGGATGTTAAGAAAAAATGGACAAAATATAAGCCCCGCCCACCCACCCCTTCTCAATTCTGACGAATGCTTTATTCATCATGAGCTAAAGGGCGAAATTTAGTTTGCAATATCCTGATGTCTCTACAAGAAATTGCCATGTGAAATATGTTTTTAAACGGGTAGAATTTTTTTGAGAAATACTGCTGAAAAAACATATTTCATATGATAATTTCTTGTAGAGAAATGAAGATTTTGCAGTTAAACTCCGCTCTTTGGTCTGATTAGGAATAAAAAACTCACTACGATTGAGATCCGGATGGGTGGGTGGGGCTTAACTTTTATTTTTTTTTTATATATATATAGTTTTCTTTCAACAACAGGAAAGTTAAACATGTTGTCAGTTTCTTGTTGGGAAAAAAAGACTTCGGATGTTAAGAAAAAATGGACAAAATATAAGCCCCGCCCACCCACCCCTTCTCAATTCTAACGAATGTATTCATCATGAGCCAAAGGGCGAAATTTAGTTTGCAACATCCTGATGTCTCTACAAGAAATTTCCATATGAAATATGTTTTTAAACGGGTAGAATTTTTCAGAGAAATACTGATGTAAAAACATATTTCATATGATAATTTCTTGTAGGGAAATGAAGATTTTGCAATTAAACTCCGCCCTTCGGTCTGATTGGGAATGAAAAATTCATCACAATGGAGATCGGGCGGGTGGGTGGGGCTTAATTTTTTATTGTTTTTTTTTTAATATATAGAGTTTTCTTTCAACAACAGGAAAGTTAAACATGTTGTCAGTTTCTTGTTGGGAAAAGAAGACTTCGGATGTTAAAAAAAAATGGACAAACTATAAGCCCCGCCCACCCACCCCTTCTCAATTCTGACGAATGCTTTATTCATCATGAGCTAAAAGACGAAATTTAGTTTGCAATATCCTGATGTCTCTACAAGAAATTGCCATATGAAATATGTTTTTAAATGGGTAGAATTTTTTTGAGAAATACTGCTGAAAAACATATTTCATATGATAATTTCTTGTAGAGAAATGAAGATTTTGCAATTAAACTCCGCCCTTCGGTCTGATTGGGAATGAAAAATTCATCACAATGGAGATCGGGCGGGTGGGTGGGGCTTAATTTTTATTGTTTTTTTTTTTTAATATATAGAATTTTCTTTCAACAAGAGGATAGTTAAGCATGTTTTCAGTTTCTTGTTAAGAAAAGAAGATTACGGATGATAAGAAAAAATGGACAAAATATAAGCCCCGCCCACCCACCCCTTCTCAATTCTGACGAATGCTTTATTCATCATGAGCTAAAGGGCGAAATTTAGTTTGCAATATCCTGATGTCTCTACAAAAAATTGCCATATGAAATATGTTTTTAAATGGGTAGAATTTTTTTGAGAAATACTGCTGAAAAAACATATTTCATATGATAATTTCTTGTAGAGAAATGAAGATTTTGCAATTAAACTCCGCCCTTCGGTCTGATTGGGAATGAAAAATTCATCACAATGGAGATCGGGCGGGTGGGTGGGGCTTAATTTTTATTGTTTTTTTTTTAATATATAGAATTTTCTTTCAACAACAGGAAAGTTAAGCATGTTTTCAGTTTCTTGTTGGGAAAAGAAGACTTCGGATGTTAAGAAAAAATGGACAAAATATAAGCCCCGCCCACCCACCCCTTCTCAATTCTGACGAATGCTTTATTCATCATGAGCTAAAGGGCGAAATTTAGTTTGCAATATCCTGATGTCTCTACAAGAAATTGCCATATGAAATATGTTTTTAAACGGGTAGAATTTTTCAGAGAAATACTGCTGAAAAAACATATTTCATATGATAATTTCTTGTAGGGAAATGAAGATTTTGCAATTAAACTCCGCCCTTCGGTCTGATTGGGAATGAAAAATTCATCACAATGGAGATCGGGCGGGTGGGTGGGGCTTAATTTTTTTATTGTTTTTTTTTTAATATATAGAGTTTTCTTTCAACAGCAGGAAAGTTAAACATGTTGTCAGTTTCTTGTTGGGAAAAGAAGACTTCGGATGTTAACAAAAAATGGACAAAATATAAGCCCCGCCCACCCACCCCTTCTCAATTCTGACGAATGCTTTATTCATCATGAGCCAAAAGGCGAAATTTAGTTTGCAATATCCTGATGTCTCTACAAGAAATTGCCATATGAAATATGTTTTTAAACGGGTAGAATTTTTTTGAGAAATACTGCTGAAAAAACATATTTCATATGATAATTTCTTGTAGAGAAATGAAGATTTTGCAATTAAACTCCGCCCTTCGGTCTGATTGGGAATGAAAAATTCATCACAATGGAGATCGGGCGGGTGGGTGGGGCTTAATTTTTTAATTGTTTTTTTTTAATATATAGAGTTTTCTTTCAACAACAGGATAGTTAAGCATGTTTTCAGTTTCTTGTTAGGAAAAGAAGACTACGGATTTTAAGAAAAAATGGACAAAATATAAGCCCCACCCACCCACCCCTTCTCAATTGTGATAAATATTTTATTCATCATGAGCTGAATAGCGAAGTTTAGTTTGCAACATCTTCATTTCTCTACAAGAAATTGCCATATGAAACATGTTTTTAAAAGGCCAGAATTTTTTTGAGAAATATTGATGTGGAAACATATTTCATATCATAATTTCTTCTAGAGAAATAAGGATTTTGCAATTAAACTCCGCCCTTCGGTCTGATTTGGAATGAAAAATTCATCACGATTGAGATCCGGGTGGGTGGGTGGGGCTTAACTTTTGTTTGTTTTTTTTTTAATATATAGTTTTCTTTCAACAACAAAATAGCTAAACATGTCAGTTTGTTGTAACGAAAAGACGACTTTGTATAGTAATAAAGAATGGACAAAAAATAAGCCCCGCCCACCCACCCCTTCTCGATAATGATGAATGTTTTATTCATCATGAGCTGAAGGGCGAAGTTTAGTGTGCACCATCCTCACTTCTCTACAAAAAATTGTTTTTAAAAATGTAGAATTTTTCAGAGAAATATTGATGTAAAAACATATTTCACATGATAATTTCTTGTAGAGAAATGCGAATTTTTGAGGATTTCTAAAAATTTCGATATTTCAACGGTCGATTCCGGAAAAACGGTTGCAGTTATCAAAGAATCGATACCGGAAGTGAGTTCTAAAGCTCGAAATCTACAAGAAAATGTATTTAGTTGAGTTTCAAAAATGTCAAAATTTTTGCGAAATTTGAAGAAGGGGGGACCGTTAAAAAATTTCAATTTTGGGAAAGTTGTCAAAAAATTATGAAAAAATTCAGCGACGTAGATCTCGACATGCTGATTCCAAAAATATAGCGTGTTGATGGTCACGGAGCAACATTTTCGAAAGAATCGGTACGAAATGCGAATTTTTGAGAATTTCTAAAAATTTCGATATTTCAACGGTCGATTCTGGAAAAACGGTTGCTGTTATCAAAGAATCGATGCCGGAAGTGAGTTCTAGAGCTCGAAATCTACAAGAAAATGTATTTAGTTGAGTTTCGAAAATGTCAAAATTATTGCGAAATTTGAAGAAGGGCGGACCGTTAAAAAATTTCAATGTTGAAAAAGTTGTCAAAAAATTATGAAAAAATTCAGAGACGCAGATCTCGACATGCTGATTCCAAAAATATAGCGTGTTGATGGTCACGGACCAACATTTTCGAAAGAATCGGTACGAAATGCGAATTTTTGAGAATTTCTAAAAATTTCGAAATTTCAACGGTCGATTCTGGAAAAACGGTTGCAGTTATCAAAGAATCGATGCCGGAAGTGGGTTCTAGAGCTCGAAATCTACAAGAAAATGTATTTAGTTGAGTTTCGAAAAGGTCAAAATTTTTGCGAAATTTGAAGAAGGGGGGACCGTTAAAAAATTTCAATGTTGAAAAAGTTGTCAAAAAATTATGAAAAAATTCAGAGACGCAGATCTCGACATGCTGATTCCAAAAATATAGCGTGTTGATGGTCACGGAGCAACATTTTCGAAAGAATCGGGACGAAATGCGAATTTTTGAGAATTTCTAAAAATTTCGATATTTCATCGGTCGATTCTGGAAAAACGGTTGCAGTTATCAAAGAATCGATGCCGGAAGTGAGTTCTAGAGCTCGGAATCTACAAGAAAATGTATTTAGTTGAGTTTCGAAAATGTCAAAATTTTTGCGAAATTTGAAGAAGGGGGGGACCGTTAAAAAATTTCAATGTTGAAAAAGTTGTCAAAAAATTATGAAAAAATTCAGCCACGTAGATCTCGACATGCTGATTCCAAAAATATAGCGTGTTGATGGTCAAGGAGCAACATTTTCGAAAGAATCGGTACGAAGTGCGAATTTTTGAGAATTTCTAAAAACTTCGATATTTCAACGGTCGATTCTGGAAAAACGGTTGCAGTTATCAAAGAATCGATGCCGGAAGTGAGTTCTAGAGCTCGGAATCTACAAGAAAATGTATTTAGTTGAGTTTCGAAAATGTCAAAATTTTTGCGAAATTTGAAGAAGGGGGGGACCGTTAAAAAATTTCAATGTTGAAAAAGTTGTCAAAAAATTATGAAAAAATTCAGCCACGTAGATCTCGACATGCTGATTCCAAAAATATAGCGTGTTGATGGTCAAGGAGCAACATTTTCGAAAGAATCGGTACGAAGTGCGAATTTTTGAGAATTTCTAAAAACTTCGATATTTCAACGGTCGATTCTGGAAAAACGGTTGCAGTTATCAAAGAATCGATGCCGGAAGTGAGTTCTAGAGCTCGGAATCTACAAGAAAATGTATTTAGTTGAGTTTCGAAAATGTCAAAATTTTTGCGAAATTTGAAGAAGGGGGGGACCGTTAAAAAATTTCAATGTTGAAAAAGTTGTCAAAAAATTATGAAAAAATTCAGCCACGTAGATCTCGACATGCTGATTCCAAAAATATAGCGTGTTGATGGTCACGGAGCAACATTTTCGAAAGAATCGCGACGAAATGCGAATTTTTGAGAATTTCTAAAAACTTCGATATTTCAACGGTCGATTCTGGAAAAACGGTTGCAGTTATCAAAGAATCGATGCCGGAAGTGAGTTCTAGAGCTCGAAATCTACAAAAAAATGTATTTAGTTGAGTTTCAAAAATGTCAAAGTTTTTGCGAAATTTGAAGAAGGGGGGACCGTTAAAAAATTTCAATTTTGAAAAAGTTGTCCAAAAATTGCGAAAAAATTCAGAGACGTAGATCTCGACATGCTGATTCCAAAAATATAGCGTGTTGATGGTCACGGAGCAACATTTTCGAAAGAATCGGTACGAAATGCGAATTTTTGAGAATTTCTAAAAATTTCGATATTGCAGCGGTCGATTCTGGAAAAACGGTTGCAGTTATCAAAGAGTCGATGCCGGAAGTGAGTTCTAGAGCTCGAAATCTACAAGAAAATGTATTTAGTTAAGTTTCGAAAATGTAAAAATTTTTGCAAAATTTGAAGAAGGGGGGACCGTTAAAAAATTTCAATGTTGAAAAAGTTGTCCAAAAATTGCGAAAAAATTCAGAGACGTAGATCTCGACATGCTGATTCAAAAATATAGCGTGTTGATGGTCACGGAGCAACATTTTCGAAAGAATCGGTACGAAATGCGAATTTTTGAGAATTTCTAAAAATTTCGATATTTCAACGGTCGATTCTGGAAAAACGGTTGCAGTCATCATAGAATCGATGCCGGAAGTGAGTTCTAGAGCTCGAAATCTACAAGAAAATGTATTTAGTTGAGTTTCGAAAATGTCAAAATTTTTGCGAAATTTGAAGAAGGGGGGACCGTTAAAAAATTTCAATGTTGAAAAAGTTGTCCAAAAATTGCGAAAAAATTCAGCCACGTAGATCTCGACATGCTGATTCCAAAAATATAGCGTGTTGATGGTCACGGAGCAACATTTTCGAAAGAATCGGTACGAAATGCGAATTTTTGAGAATATCTAAAAATTTCGGTATTTCAACGGTCGATTCTGGAAAAACGGTTGCAGTTATCAAAGAATCGATGCCGGAAGTGAGTTCTAGAGCTCGAAATCTACAAGAAAATGTATTTAGTTGAGTTTCGAAAATGTCAAAATTTTTGCGAAATTTGAAGAAGGGGGGACCGTTAAAAAATTCAGAGACGTAGATCTCGACATGCTGATTCCAAAAATATAGCGTGTTGATGGTCACGGAGCAACATTTTCGAAAGAATCGGTCCGAAATGCGAATTTTTGAAGATTTCTGAAAACTTCGATATTTCAACGGTCGATTCTGGAAAAACGTTTACAGTTATCAAAGAATCGATGCCGGAAGTGAGTTCTAGAGCTCGAAATCTACAAGAAAATGTATTTAGTTTCGAAAATGTCAAAATTTGGCCGAAATTTGAAGAAGTTTGCAATATCCTGATTTCTCTACAAGAAATTGCCATATTTCATATAATTTGTTGTAGAGAAATGAGGATTTGACAATTAAAGTCCGCCCTTTGGTCTGATTAGGAATAAAAAGGTCATTACGATTGAGATCTGAGTGGGTGGGTGGGGCTTAACTTTTGTTTTTTTTTATATATATATATATAGAGTTTTCTTTCAACAACAGGAAAGTTAAACATGTTGTCAGTTTCTTGTTGGGAAAAGAAGACTTCGGATGTTAAGAAAAAATGGACAAAATATAAGCCCCGCCCACCCACCCCTTCTGAATTCTGACGAATGCTTTATTCATCATGAGCTAAAGGGCGAAATTTAGTTTGCAATATCCTCATGTCTCTACAAGAAATTGCCATATGAAATTTGTTTTTAAACGGGTAGAATTTTTTTGAGAAATACTGCTGAAAAAACATATTTCATATGATAATTTCTTGTAGAGAAATGAAAATTTTGCAATTAAACTCCGCCCTTCGGTCTGATTGGGAATGAAAAATTCATCACAATGGAGATCGGGCGGGTGGGTGGGGCTTAATTTTTTAATGTTTTTTTTTTAATATATAGAGTTTTCTTTCAACAACAGGAAAGTTAAACATGTTGTCAGTTTCTTGTTAGGAAAAGAAGACTTCGGATGTTAAGAAAAAATGGACAAAATATAAGCCCCACCCACCCACCCACCCCTTCTCAATTGTGATAAATATTTTATTAATGATGAGCTGAATAGCGAAGTTTAGTTTGTAACATCTTCATTTCTCTACAAGAAATTGCCATATGAAACATGTTTTTAAAAGGCCAGAATTTTTTTGAGAAATATTGGTGTGGAAACATATTTCATATGATAATTTCTTGTAGAGAAACAAGGATTTTGCAATTAAACTTTGCCCTTCGGTCTGATTTGGAATGAAAAATTCATCACAATTGAGATCCGGGTGGGTGGGTGGGGCTTAACTTTTGTTTGGTTTTTTTTAATTTATAGTGTTCTTTCAACAACAAAATAGCTAAACATGTCAGTTTGTTGTAACGAAAAGACGACTTCGTATAGTAATAAAGAATGGACAAAAAATAAGCCCCGCCCACCCACCCTTTCTCGATTGTGATGAATGTTTTATTCATCATGAGCTGAAGGGCGAAGTTTAGTGTGCATCATCCTCACTTCTTTACAAGAGATTGCCATATGAAATGTTTTTAAAAATGTAGAATTTTTCAGAGAAATATTGATGTAAAAACATATTTCATATGATAATTTCTCGTCGAGAAGTGAGGATTTTGCAGTTAAACTCCGCCCTTCGGTCTGATTAGGAATGAAAAATTCATCACAATTTAGATGGGGCGGGTGGGTGGGGCTTAATTTTTTTTTTTAATAATAAATAATATATTAATTAATAATAATAATTTTCTTTCAACAACAGGATAGTTAAACATGTTGTCAGTTTCTTGTTAGGAAAAAAAACTTCATATATTAAGAAAAAATGGACAAAATATAAAGAATCGGTAGGAAATGCGAATTTTTGAAAATTTCTAAAAAGGGCAAAATGTCAACCCTCGTAGTTATGAATACCTAATCTTTTTTTGAAACAAATAGCATTAAATTTCAGCAAAATCTCTCCCGTTCCAGGTTTCCTCTGGGTGGAGAACGAGCCCTGCGAGGTCACCCTCAAACTCTCCAACCCCCTCCCCTTCGAGCTCAAAGTCTCCGACATGCGCCTCCTCACCTCCGGCGTCGTCTTCGAGTCCCTCCCCGAAACCGTCGTCCTCTCCCCCTCCGGCTCGCCCCCCAGCGTGATCACCCTCCACGGCACCCCCCGCGAAAGCGAAGGCCAACTCCAGCTCCAAGGCTACAGCACCCACACCCTCGGCGTCAAATCCAACTGCCGCCTGCGCCACATGGCCGGCTTCCCCCCGCACTACGAAGTCGAGATCGTCCCCTCCCTCCCCCTCCTCGACGTCAAGACCTCCCTCCCCCAAAGCTCCACCTTCTCCTCGTTCCACGACTACGAGAACGTCGTCACGTCGGCGAGCGTCAGCCTGCACCACGGCGAGAGCGCCGAGTGCACCGTCACCATCACCAACATCGGCCACGTCGACGTGGAGATGCTGGAGATCACCATGCAGACGGTGCTCGAGCCGGGCCTGCAGGAGCAGATGTTCACCTGGTCGAAGGAGAACCTGCTGAGTCAGCTGCCGCTGAAGCCGGGCTGCGCCGCCAGTCTGACGCTGTACCTGTACGCGGCGGGCAGCTTCCTGGTGCCGGGGGGAACAGCGAACGAGTTCAGCAGCGGGGTGTTCAGTAGCAGCATCTCGGGGCCGGGGTCGCTGCCGTCGAGACTCAACTCCCCGAGCAGCAGCTTCCATAGGAACGTGAATTCGAGCTTCCGCTCGTCGAACTCGGGGCACTCGAGTATGAGTGCGACCCTCCAGCTGCCGCAGCTGCCGATCAACCAGCAGGCGGCGGCGGTGGTGGAGGGGCAGCTGCAAATTCGGTATAGCGGCGGCCCGGGCTTGCAGGCGGCGTATTGTAGGTGCTGTTCGGTGTTTCTGACTATGGAGACGGTGCCGTCGCTGCACGTAACGAACTGGGACGTGCTTCCGGCGGAAACGTAAATCTCTAGAGAGTCTTGGAAGCGATCCCCAGGTGTTCACTTTCGTCTTGTTGTAGGAATACTCAGTTCTACTTGGTGTTGGACGTCGCGAATTTAACTTCTCAAGAGATGGAGTTGCAGTATACACCTTCCAAGACCATGTTGATCGAGGGACACGAGAGTTGCAGAGTCCCCGTACCGGTGAAACGGTGCCCTTTGTCCAAACTCGATACCGGCGAAAATCTAGCGAGCGGTGATTTAGATCGGATTTGTTCGGAGCACATCGCCAATCTCGTCGACTTAAGGTGGCACTTGCTGGGGACCGACACGAGGGGTAAAGCGTCCCTTAAAGGAATCACTCTGACCAACGACATGTTGGACGAGGTTAGAATGTCGCCGCTGCTTTGGGGTGAGTTTTGAATGCGCGACTGATGGTTTGTGACGTCAGGGGGTGTTGCAGAGGTGGTGATTAATGAGGATGCCGTCAGACCTCAGGAGGAAGTGACGTGCGAGGCTGGGGATTGTCTCGAGTTGAAGATTTTGGTCACCAATAGTCTAGACAAGGTTTTAAATCATTTATCGTTGTCGGTTCAGTTTTATCAGGATTATGAGAATGGAACGGTTAATTATAGGATGGAGACCAGGTTGGCCACCACAGGAACGACAAAGTAAGTTTGGCTGGAATTACAGGTTTGTCTATTCATTAGAAAGTTATTAGATCTTAGTCGGCCTTGTTACGATATTTTTTCTTCGTGTTGGAGAAACTGATTCGATTCGTAACGTGATATTTAAAACAACTTAACCTAAAAAGAAAAATTGGGGCAACTATATAATTAGTTGTACTTGCTAAGATAAGTCTGACTGTGGCAAATTACATACCCCGTAAGAAACTAGAGGGGCGGGTGGGCGGGACTAGTAATTGTTAAGGGGGAACGCTAGACGAGAGACAAGTTTGAATTGGGCCTTAAACGCAACCAGCAATTCTTCTTTAAATCTACCTGGCGGCCCACAACATACCTTCAGCACAGAATAATCATTTCTCGTATTCTTTTGACATATTAATTTTAATATTCGAGATAATTTAAACGAGATGCTGCTAAAGCATATAACGAATGTGTTGAGTCTATGGAAGCAAGCATAAAAACAAATCCAAATAAATTCTGGGCTTTTGTTAACTCCAAAAGGAAATTTTCTGATCTACCACATTGTTTCACCTATAATAATGAAGAACACACCGATCCGCAAAACATTGCAGATTTATTTGCATCATTCTTTGCATCAACGTATAAAGATCATAATGATATAACCGAGGATACAACTAACTACAATAATCTCCAACATGAAGTTCTACATAACTCTTGTCTAAATATTAATAAAATAGAAGAAAATGATGTACTCAAGGCAATTAAGCGATTAAAAACATCCATGACAGCTGGACCAGACTTTATACCTGCATTTATGATTAAGGATTGTGCATATATTTTTGCCAAACCATTGTGTAAGATTTTCAATTTAATAATAAACACATGTAGATATCCAGATATATTTAAATTGACACGTATATGCCCCGTTTTCAAAAAAGGTGACAAATGTTTGGTTGAGAACTATAGACCAATCTCTATAATGTGTAATTTTGCCAAAATATTTGAATTTATCATATCAGACTTAATAGCGTTCCATATGAACAAAATTATATCCGAACATCAGCATGGATTCATTTATAAAAGATCTACAGTCACAAACCTTTTATCTAAAACTCAATATATATCCGAATGCCTTGATAGAGGTAATCAGGTGGACGTTATATATCTGGATTTCTCCAAAGCGTTTGATAGTATTAATCACACATTGCTCCTTGATAAACTTGAATGTTTTGGATTCTCAGACTCTTTTATTCTTTTACTAAATTCTTATTTATCTAATAGGTCTACATATGTGAATTATAGGGGTTTTACTTCTTACACATTTACCCAATCATCTGGTGTACCACAAGGGTCAGTTCTTGGACCTCTCCTCTTTGTTTTATATATAAATGACATCACGGAAACACTTCATACTAAACATCTGTTATATGCTGATGACCTTAAGATTTACCATGAAATAAAAAATACATCTGATTGTTCAATGTTACAGCAGGACTTACAAAATATATTAAATTGGAGTACCCTAAATCATTTGAATATTAATAAAACTAAGTGTTATGTTATGTCATTTACTAGAAATGAATACAAAGTAAATTATCATTATAGCATAGATGATGTTATCTTGAATAGACCTAATGTCGTCAATGATCTTGGGGTAACATTTGACGCTAAATTATCGTTTTCATGTCATATAAAAAAAATTTCAGATGATGCCTATAAGTGTCTAGGTTTCGTTATTCGTAACTCCAAATCATTTAATGACACCTCCACAATCATGACACTCTATATCGCCTTTGTTCGCAGTAAAATTGAATATGCATCTACAATCTGGTCTCCATGCTATAAAATATATTGTTCCGATCTAGAAAAGATTCAAAGACGCTTTTTGAAGTTTTGTGCATTCTTTGTAGATGGTTTTTATCCTATTCGTAACTTTCCACAGGACCTGCTACTATCTCGTTTCGCTTTACAAAGTCTTCTTATCAGAAGATCCATGCAAGCATCGGTAATTTTATTTAAAATAATACAAAATATAATTGAATGTAAATATATTTTCAATCAAATTTCTTTACATACACCTAGAATCAACTGCCGGTATCATCATATTTTTCAGCCACTTCGTGCTAGAACTAATATGCTTATGTTTTCGCCTCTAAATCAGATGATACTCAGCTACTGCAGCGTTGAGAAAGATGTTGATATTTTTAACTGCAAGCTGAATCAATTAAAAAGATGTTTTCATACATGACAGTACAAAGAGGTTAAACACCAACACTGGTGCCTAATAGAAAATTATTCATGGTTTCATTACATTTTAAGAGTATACATAATAGTACTTATTGTATTTTATAATTATTATCTGAGCTCACCTAACTGGGACTTGCAGTAGTATAGCTGCAATTGTGCTTAAACTGATGAAATCAATATACTAACATGTTTTAACTTGGCTTGTAATTGGGTTTTAAAAAACCTGTTAGCCAATGTACAATAATAATAATGTACAATAATAATATTAATAATAATAAGTGTGGGTCTTACTTATCAATAATATTAATAATTATTATTATTATTATTATTATTATTATTACACTTACATTCCGTCTCCATTCCTTGAAAATAACAAATACAAATTATACTGGGATCGCACAATACTTACAGACTTAAACATTACAGCTAACAGACCAGACATCATACTTATCAAAAAACACACGAACGAAGCCATTCTCATTGACATTGCTATTCCTAACACAAACAACATTATTCAAACATACGACACCAAGATTTCAAAATATCTACAATTATCAATAGAAATGAAATCCATGTTGAATCTTAAAAAAATTTCAATTCTACCCCTAGTTATCTCTAATGTAGGTGTAGTTCCAAATAGCTTAGTTGAGAATTTAAAGTCTTTGCATTTGAATGATTCAATAATTGTCAAAATTCAAAAAGCTGTTTTGTTAGGAACATGTCATATTGTTCGTAAGTTTCTTGAACAGTCTGATCATGTCAGTCAGATTAGATTAGCACCAGTAGGTCAGAGTAGTGTAGGTCACTTTTCATCTGATGCGCGGATAAATGGTCGGTAGTTACGCTGGACTTTTGGGGATGGGGTGAGATTAGAGAATAATAGCAGACTAATTTGTATGCTGTAATTCTAGAATCTCGAAAGTTGTTCTGTTAATCTAATCAATGCATATCATTACTTGGTCTTAGTACCCGTAATGATAGAAGTCTTGCCTGAATGCCGGTCATTTCCGGGTCAGTGGTGGGTCTTAATTATATTATTCAAACACAATTTAGACACTGTAGAGCAAACAAGGCTTATCAAGCCCGTTCTATTAGTTTCTTCGCCTAAATGTATTATTAATACCGTTTTCAAATTACACCAAAATTGAAAAATCGAAAACTTAGTAATTGAAAAATTGAAACATTTTAAATGAAAAAAATCGGTAAACCGAAAAATTGAAAAATTTATAAATCGAGAAATTGAACAATCTAAAAAAAATTGGTCTAAAGAGTTTAGATAGTACTTCCCTCGCTGTCGGAAACTTGACGACTGCATGCCTATTGTGTTTTTTTTCTCATTACATTTTTGTAGTGGGAATTTAAAAAAAAATTGCGATGACGTCATCAACATTTTTGCAAGGACACGTATATCAGTTGGGATAGATGTAGTGTAATACTAAGAATAAAATTATTATATTCTCAAATTTTCGGGAAAATGAATTGGGTCGTTTGAATATTGATTTGTAATAATCAATAAAATAACGAAACAATTTACTCACGTATACCTACGTATCAGAGGCAACTGAAAATCGTGTATGTATAAACATTGTTAATTTAAGATGACAGGCGTAACAGCATACGTGAGAGCCAAACACAAGAAACTGTAAACAAAACGACCGTCGGTTTTATTGCTTCGACTTCCGCTTATTATATAAAACATTGGGTTTTATTTTAATTCTTGACGGTGAAATTCACAATTGGTTGATTATAAACATGTCTATTTCACATTCGCGGAATCAAGTGAACGCATAAAACAAATGCAGGTCTGTAATGTTAAAGTCGATGTAAATAAGCGTGCTACCCTTATGTTTCAACCGAGTTTTTCCTTTAACAAATTTTGTGTCTACCAAATTGGGTTGGTTGGGGTGTAATACTAATAATAAGTGTTGCCTTTAATTTAATCAATAAAATAAATTGACTTCATTAATTTTTTTGAACCACCTCTTAAGAAAATCTAAAAAATATGAATGGAATGATAAATCACAAGTACAAACTCATCATATTTTTTGCATTTTAGATAGGATTTATTCAGCAAAATTTAAGGGTGACGTCATCAATTTTTTTAGGAGGGATGAACAAATACATTTTGAACAAAAGTTTACCATGCTTATAATAACTTTAAAATATTCCCAAGATTTCAAAGCATTCGGTTTTGTAATTCCTGATTAAATCGATAAAATAAATTCACGCCTTCATTAATTTTTTTGAGTCACCCTGCATATGCAAATCCAAAAATATGAATGGAATGATAAATCACAAGTACAGACTCATCATATTTTGTACATTTTAGATACGATTTATTCGGAAAACTTTTGAGCTGACGTCATCAGTTTTTTGTAGAAGATAACCAAATATATTTTGACTAAAAATTTATTATGCTCTTTATAACCTTAAAACATCTGCAAGATTTCAAAGCATTCGGTTTTGTAGTTCCTGATTAAATCAATAAAATAAATTTACGCATTCATTAATTTTTTTGAGTCACTCTGTATATGCAAATCCAAAAAATATGAATGGAGTGATAAATGACAAGTACAGGCTCATCATATTCTGTACATTTTAGATATGATTTATTCGGCAAACTTTCGAGCTGACGTCATCAAGTTTTTGGAGGGGATAAGCAAATATATTTTGACTAAACATTTATTATGCTCTTTATGACCTTAAAACATCTGCAAGATTTCAGAGCATTCGGTTTTGTAGTTCCTGATTAAATCAATAAAATATATTTACGCATT